TCATATTAATCGATCCAAACTCAGCAGGGAGTCCTGAGCTGGACTTCAGGAGAAACCTCAGGGTCCCTCTTGGGGCAAGGTGAGAGGGTGTTGACTCTTGCCTCATTATTGTGTCTTTGTTCCAGTCAGCAGCAGGCAGAGGGCACAGCTGGGGGTCTCAGGCTAACAGACACACTCCGATGTTTGGGTGGAGAGGCCAGAGCGGCGTCCATGTCAGTTCCGACTCGCTGCCTTCATTCTTGTAGGTTTACGAGAAGCCACGCAGCTCATTCCCCATCCCCCGCCTCCACCCCGTGAAGGAAAACAAAAATGCCCTCAAAACCTCAAAGACACATGAAGCATGGATTTTCCATTCACACACACACACACATACCTAGAAACCTTTCAAATCCTCCAATGCAGGATCCAGATTGCCATGCCAGTTTGATTATCTCTCCACTCCCCGTTTTCTTTTACTGTTGTTTTGACCGTCTCTGATGTTGGTTTGTCTTTGTCCAACTTTCAAATGTCTATTTATTCACTGTGCTTTAATTGTGTGGTGGGCGAGATTTGTTTGAAATTGCCCCGTTTGTACATTTTGCATCACAATAGGAGTGGCTGTGAGGCCCCGCTCATTCAGCTGTGCGATGCCAGGTCTCCCTTTCAGAGACGGTGTTTCATCTTTTTATGTTTGTCTGCATTGTCTTTAAAAATGCATAAATTAACCTTTTGATGAATCCCTTGTACTCGAACTGGCCCAGATTCACCCACATGCTTGACTGGACAGAGCCTGTTACTGGCATGATGTCACGGCTGCCTAGGCAAACTTTTCAGAGCGCTCTTTTGTTGACATCCAATTAAGAGCCCTCTTTGAAGGTTTGTCAGCGGTCTTTTAAAGGTTTTAGTCGAGCTTATGAGTTATATCTCTTTTTCCATGGTTACATTTAAAATATCTAATATTTATTAAAGGTTTGTCTCAATCATAGAAGCCTGAAAAACAAATTTTTTCTAGTTTGTTTTTTAGGGAGGGTACAGGAAATAAAGGGGTTAAGTGCAAGCTTTAGAAGTACCTCATCCTGTCAGTTTAGTGGTCAAATAAGTGTTCTAGAAACCAACATAATCTGAAATCAAATTATGTGTTTTCCTTAAAGATCTACATAAAATAATATTAATGATAAAAAATGTAAAAATTCACTTTTGGTGTTTTCACATTTTTACACTCAGAGGAGTTTCTATCACAGTTCTTGGTCTGGAGGTGATCACTGGTTTTAATCACACTTTAAGTAACCGGTAGTATTAACCAATATAATAAATTACTGTAAAACAGGACTATAGGTTAACAGAATTTAAATTACATTAGACAGAGAGGTTGTTTGGGTTTATAGTGCTGGGCTCTTACAGTACAGTACACATCACACACGTATTGTAAAGGACGAGTTATCAGACTGTGAAATAGAACATACTCCAAGGTTTTGCCACATACACGCTGTACCAAGATAAGGGACCGCTTGTCTAAGTACAGTACGTCAGAACTGTGATGGGCAAAGTGTCAGCGAATTCTCAGTTAAAGCAGTACTAAGTAGTTTTCGAGTTGCACTCCCCCTACAGAACATTAAGAAAATCACACTGTTGTAAACACTGACAGCTCTCCAACAGCTACAGAATTCATTCTTAAGGGTGGATTAGACTTCTGCGACCACACAATGAACCTTTCTCAGAACCGCGGTGAGAAAGGTGAGCTTCAATGACTGTCTGAGACCGTAGCTCACCACACATATACGCCCAAAAGTGCACATACACAGAAAAATATAGCTAACAGAACGAGCACATAGGATGGCCTTACGTAAATATATCACCAGAATGATGGAGGACCACTTATTGAGATGATCCACTCAGCAATAAAAGATTGTCCTCTAATTTATATTAAAAAAACAACACAATAGTAGAACAACCCTTCAAGGAATGAGACAAACAAAAAGAGGATACTTCCAGCCCTCTGCTTGTACCTATGACAATAGACGTTCACAAATATATAGCTTTAAAAATGTTGTATGCAAATATTTAAAACCTGCCCATATATAAACATATGTTTTAGCTGAACCATGCTGACAGCCAAAGTATGTCTAGGTGCGTGGAGACTGAACAATTCTCAGCATTACATGGTTTCAATTGGTTCATTGCCCTTATCCTCCATGTCGGTCCTCATCATCAGACTCAGAATAGGAGTTCTCCCTTGATTCTGAAGCTCCACCTGTTGCTGCAGGATTGTATTGTAGTACATCAATTACCTCCACAAATAATTTGTATTTTAGCTATTTTAGAAATGCCTCTCCTACCATTAGTCTTAATAAATCAATGGAATGATAAGAGATTTTCTTGCTATTAGGTATTGTTCAAGAGCCGGGGCCTGCGCCAACACCCTCCATTATGGCAAGTATAGATATATATTACACCTGACGACCATACAGCACCATTACAAGAGGGGTAAACAACTGTGTTTTAACGACTAGTTCTGACTTTATATAGATAGGCCTTCTGTAAAACTCGTCCTGATACGGAAGTCTTGTGTTGCTCATGCTTGCAGTAGTCATGTCTGAAAGGTAGTTACTTACGTCCAGCATGGGTGAAAGCTGTATGAAGGATCAGTGGAAATGGCAAAAGCTGGAATACAAAGTCAAAGTGGACCAACATATGTAGTGGGCATTGACATTGAATCTGTATTATTACAATGTATTATTGCAACATTTATTAGAAGATAAGAAGTATGAATTGACAAGTTTTTTTAGTGATGGAAGCAGTGGAGACAAGCCTTTTTTATGTAGACAAAAGATGGAGTGGTGAACGCTCTTTTAAAGCTGTCTTAATTTAGCAGTAGAAGGACTGTTTCGTGGTTCTACCACGTCCTGCAACTGGAGCCTTCTCTCCCTGCTCCACTGTTCTTTCTGCATGCTTCTCTGATCGTCTGCTATCCTCCTTTCATCTACCACAGTTATCGGTAGCCTATATAACTAGCCTCTGTCAGCTGTAGCCTATCCTCTCCCTGGTGCTGTTTCCCCGGCGGATTAGAGCTAATTTTTAATCATATCTGCCCTTATCTTTTGGTAGAAGTTTTTCTTGGTATTCATAAATCATTCTGACTCAAACCAGATGTAAAATCTACAGTCTGAATCTCCACATCTGTTGTTACTAAACAAATGTTGACCCCCTCCTAAGATAGTCGATCGTAGCTAAGCTCGCACTGGGTCGTGTGACGTCATCACAGTGCTGTCTCAAGTTTAAGGCTAGAAAAATAAGTCCAAGAAGGTTTTGAGGAAATGTTTGACTAAATTACACTCATGTTATGCGTATAAATTTGATTTAATTTGACTTTAAAGATAGATGATTCAAAAACTAGAATGGCTGAAAGTTCTCCACATTCTGGGGGTCCCACATTTCTGACTCTTGACTCAGCTGATGAGCACAGTCTGCAAAAACAGCTGTTTCTTCAGGTTGAAGAATGAAGAACTGCATGGACTAAGGGGTTATTTTGGCCAATCCAGAAAGTGTAACAAGCCTTGCTCTCGCTCTTCAGGGATCCTTCTCTTTTAATGAAAAATATAACCGTAGTCCTTATAGCCAATCACTTCCATTTTAATTTGGTCCAGTCCACATGACCTAGAAACAACCTTTGTCCCTAAGTTCATGAGTAATCACTAATGTACTCTATGGCTGCACGGTGGATGTTTGTAGCACTGTTGCCTTGCAGTATGAAGGCCCTGGGTTTGAGTCCTGCCTTAGAATATGTCGCAAAGGAATTTGCATGTACTCCTGTGCATATGTGAGTTCTCTCTGGGTACTCTGGCTTCCTCCCACTGTTCTAGAACATGACTGTTAGGTCTCTAAATTGCTATTAGATGTGCATGGTTGCACGTCTGTTGCCTATTCTCCATTGATTACCTATATAATGACTTTGGCTCAGTTCACGATTATGATTAATTCCATTTTCCATTAAAATGGAGTAGTATCTTGGTGGGGTCTTTACCAGCAAGGCTGCCCTACAGTCAGACATGCTATATTGTGAAGATACACCACAACAACAATCTGCTTCCTTTAAGGCTCTTAGACTCATAGAGTGTATATGTAGAGAGAAGCCATATGGTATGAAATTAAAGGATATGAGCTACAGAAAATGTACAGATAAATTAATGCTACCTACTGCTTTTTCATAACAGTGCTTATATACACAATAAGCCCAGTGTAAAATCATTTGATGTTTAAAGATAGTTACTAAAATAAGCTGTTACTGACACTGAGTGAAATTAAGAAACAATTCATTATTTTCAGCAAAATCAGGTTTATTGACAGGTTCTCAGTTGCAGAACTAGTATAAGGTTGTATAAGTAGTAAATTAGTACAACAGACAAATAGTTTGATATATTTGCGACTTGCACTGAGTGTGAATAAAGAATGTGGAAAGAGATGAGAATATTTGCTACAAAAAGGCTTCAATTACTCACACTACCAGAGCTGGATTAAGACCAAGATACAAAATTAAGACCACAGAGTTTTCTTTGTGCAAAAAAAAAAATAAAAATTCTCTACATATTACAAAGCTAAAGTAAAAACCAAACACACAAAGGACCTCTGTTAATAATATTCAATTATGTACATTACATATTTTAAAAAAGAACTACAGAGCCAACTAGTACGAAAACACTTAATTTAATCCAAAGTACCACTTAGGTAAGACAAATGGGTATATTTTTCTGTATAACCAATGTAAGGGCCAAAAAATTTTGTAACAAGTACATAAAAAAAGGACAATAGAGAAAGACATAACCCTTCTTTGAACAAGCACAAAAACAAAAAAACCCTGAGACAAAAAAACAAAACAAAAACTGATGAGTATCTCCTTCAGCATTCTCTCCCCGCAAGCTCGTTACTTTTTTCAGTTGCGGAGCGGAGTACAAATTTAGCTCACCAAAATTGAGGGAAGCCCGAGTCCAAAGGCTAAAAATACAGACAGGAAGAATATTTCTGTGCACAAAATAATACAGCTTCACAAACAACTTGCTTCCTTTGCCGCACAGCTGGCTGATCACACGTCTAATTCAGCCTGCGAGCAGGAAAATAATACACCTGAGTAAACGCGTCAGGCGAAAAGGGAATAAAACTGGAAAAAGGACCAGTACAGGTCTGATCCGGTCACAGTAGCTTATTTGTTCCAGGAGGAGAGAGAAGAAGCAGAGATGACTGCGAGGCCCCCCTGCAGTAAGCATGGCAACAACTCCCGCTTAAACTGCAGGCTGCTTCCATGAGAAAGTTACACAGTCCGAGTAAACAGATCAGGTGGTGGGGGCTGAGGATGGGTGGGACCAGACTTTCAGTCTCTGGGCTGCTTCCAGGCCTTTGCTCCTCCGCAGACTCATCAGAGAGGACGGAGCCCCGACGATACGACACAAACCCCTTCTTCTTCCTCCTCCGTGGAGCCAGCAGAGAGACATATGCCTGCATACCAGACATCACAGCTCATCTGGGGGGAACAGAAAAGAGGGAGGTTAATGTTAAGGTCCTGTAAAGACTGCTGGAAAAGGAGGCAGTGTGTAAACAGTGGGCAACACAAAGTCTTCAGTGCTCATCACCATGCCATTTTATGAGGCGTGCCCATATGGCATTATTAATGCCTCGCTACGTTATTTAACCAAAGTTGTCCTGGTATGCGGGATTAAGCTGCTTGACTGGTTTAGGTTCTTGAGGAATAAATATTGCAGTCTGGGAACAAAGACAACGGCGAGATGAAATTCAGCCTCTCTGCATTTAAATAAGAAACCGATTCCAAAAATCCATCTGCTGTCTTCAGATAAAAGCTCCAACTCTGAGTCACCTTTTCATGGTTCAGTTTTTTAAATCCCTACACATGCAAGAGCGCTTGCAAAAACTGCAATAACTTCCTTTGAAACCCTCTTCTCGAGTTTTCTCTCCAACCCCAGATAACTCGGCGTCTAATTTACCACGCCTGCTGCCATGTTGGAATGCTTCCCTGGATATCTCGGGGGAGGTAGCGAGAAACTTAAACATGGTGTTTGCCTCTGATTTGCATGTTTGTGATGTGCCCTGCTCTCTGCCCTGCAAGCTACAAGCCTTGGACATTTTTGTTCTGCAGCAGGCAGAGGGTTATTTTGGTAAGCTCTCATTGTCAAAGCTGACCTTACAGAAGGTTTCTCTGAGCTACGTGCGACTGTTGAAGCTGTGAATAATCAGCCTGAGGGCAACAGTTGGAATCAGGTAAAGCTACCGGGAAAACAAAAGACTGCAGAGAAGCTGAATTACCTTCTGAACAAATAAGATTAGATCTTCTGAGACATGAAAATAAGGTAAACCTGTTTGTTTGGTGCTTCTGTGATTTTTTCCTGTGGGGTCTCAAAGGTTTAAACATAACAGGATATTTTAACACATAAAAACAAGCGAGTGCTATCAGCATACATCAGAGCTGATATTGGTCAGGGAGCGTAGGTGGTGTAATACAGGGTCTGAATCACCATGACACAGCTCCTACACAGATTCTACTCTTGTACCAATCGGGGCTAACATGCAATTTCTGTTGCTTTGAATTTCATTTGAATTCTCAAAATAAAGAGGAATTAGGATGTTGATTTTACACAATTTGTATGGGGAGACTAATGGGACTATGTTCTCTAATATGTGTGCAGACATAAATCAGAATACCAGTTAAACAAAGAGGATTCAACGCTATGATTTCAAGGGAATCACTTAAAATTGCCTCCATTCTCAACATAATTATTTAGAACCAGTTACAGATGATATCAATTCGTTGATCTATCTTCCTCTGTAAAGGAGGTGCTGAGATAATCGCAGGTAAAGGTGAATCCAAAGACCTTAGCAAAGATGAGGAAACAACAGTTGAAATCTACCCTTTGTACTCTGGTACCTGAACTGGCTGCACACTTTGAGCTGTGCCTCTAATGGAGGAATTGATTGCAGGAGGAATTGAGCATTCAGTCTCATGAGTTCTGGTCTACATGGAGTTAATATTTACAGATGCATCTTATGTCAGCATTTCATTTTAAAAAGGAAAACAATTTATCAAAGGTCGATTTTTCCTTCTCCCTCCACTTCTGGAATCCAGGACCTCAATTTTAAAGTGAAAATAAATAACTAATTTGGCATATGGTTTAAAAAAAAAAAAGAAAATGAAAGTTTGTCCCCCCCCCCCCCCCCCCCCTTTTTTTTCATCACACTTCCTTTCAATTAATATATTTGGATCTAGCGCTTAGGAAGGAAGACCTTACCCTGCTTGACTATCAGGTCAATGTCCCAATGAAGATGTTTCATTAAATTCAAAGCATAAATGATCCAAATTTTAGAGCTGTAGTCCGACCAAATATTCAGTCCCCGTAGTAGACATCATTCCCATCGCACATTCTCAAACTTCTGCTCTCTCAGCCACAACAAAAGGGCCTGCTCCCCATTTTTTACACGTCAAGGTCGATAACATGCCGCACTGAGCTGTATCGGTTACTCTCACCCCCCTTTCACCTCGATTTTAGGCCATTATTAATACTGGAACGATCACCATATTTCTATTAGAGCCTTATGTCTGTAAGCAAAACAAACCAAAGAAGTTCATTTTAACTTAAACTGACTTGAAAGTCATCAATTTACCTGAATTGGGATTTCATTCTTTCCTCTCTTGTGGTTTATATGCCACAGACCACATCTGCGTTGTGCAGAACCCAAATTACCCATAACGTCCAAAAGCAAAGCCCAGTCTTTTCTTTAGCAGTCCCATGTGACCATCCAGGTCCATCCTGCAGTGACCCACACCTGACCCAGCTTGGCTTTATTTACATTAGTTTGCATGACTTTGATGGAGGACTCCACAGTGAACTTGGATGCTGACAGGAAGTATAGTTTAAGGCTGGATAAATATTATCTCGTGGACTGAATAACTACCTCTCAAGTGCTTCTTCTGTAAATATTGCCTAATTGTGATTAATTAGCAGACAGACCCCAGCTCCATCTGACCCCAGCTGGCTCAGTGAAGAGCCCACTTTAACTGTATGACAGCTCGTCTCTTTTTAAGGCTGTAATCTAATTAGTCTGGGTGATTATTCAGCCATTTCAAACGTCGCCTTTCCTTTTCCTTTTTGTTACCCTCCGCATGGAGAAAAGGCCAATAAAAAAAAAAACACCATTAGGTTTATGCAAATGTAAGCGGCCATTCTGAGGGGCTGTAATGTGGCGAACTGATTACTCTGGGGACTGCAGGAGAAGTGTGTATCTGTGCTGAGGTGGTGGAGGGAGTCGTCGTTGTACACAGATGCTGCAATAAAAGCTCCTTTCAGCTTGTGTTCCTGGTGGCCCTCACAGGGAGGCATTAATAAAACATTAGTATTGAGTGACTGGGGGCCCCTGCGCTCCTCTTCGCCGATCCTGAAGTGACCTTTCCATTTTACAGCAGCTGTCCAAATCCGCCAAACAGCCCAACTGAGCCCCCACCCTCCTTCCGACCTCTGCAGGTGTAGCTGCCAACTTTAGGAGAGCTACGCAAAAGAAATTAGCTGTTTATCTTTGCCAGTCTCTGAGGGGGAGTTGGGGGGTGACGAGGTGGGTAAAAGGCCTTCAAGATGGACAACAGGGCTTTTGTGGATGTTATAGTTTAGTTGCACCTGAGGAGATGTAGAACTTTGCAGCTTAGAGGAAACTTTTTCCTATTTAGACCAAAACACTGGTTGACTGTTACCTACAGCTACCTAATGATCCTGACATCACACTAATGGGAAATCCTAATATTAGCCCAATGCCGGATTTTTTTGTAATTCATCATCGCTAAAGAAAGCCTTCAGGTTACAGCTAAAATATTAAATACTAAGCTAGTTTGACACATTGGAAGGAGAGAAATAGTACATATACAACCTCTTTTTGTTTAAACATCTTAGGTGGGACATCTACTAGTCTCCGACTTTTATCTAAGGAAAGTTTCACCTCACTTTACATTTCTGCTGTTACAGGTTCTGGGGTGGGGGGCTGGGGTTACATCTCCAATCCAATTTTAAGTCACCACAGCATTTCAGATCAAGCATAGAGAAATACGTCCTTATTTTACCTATAGTGCAAATTTGCTCTGACTGCAATATAACCGTACCAGTTTATGTAACATGAGGTAATGGGTAATTTGAATTGATTGGCTAAGCTATTGCCATTTGATATTCATCATTGTATTTAAATGCATTTATTAAACTTTTTTTTCCTTTTAGATGGAAAGCCACCTTTGGGTAGGCAAGGGCAGTGGTAAAACCCTGATGCTATGATAACCTTAAGCAAAAACATATCCTGGTGTCATGGTGTTAATGATGACAGCTCTATTTCTGAAATATCTGAACCAAAAAAAAAAATAAAAAAATAAATAAGTGCCCAATTGTGGAACGTCATACAATTTGAACCAGTAGAGCTAGCAGCTACAAGGAAATTTGTGCCACAAAATTTCCAAAAAAGTGAAAACAATTCACTCGACTTTGTTTCCAAGTTTAAAGACGTTTTGCTTCCCATCCAGGAAGCTTTTTCAATAAAAAAAAAAAAAAAAAAAAAAAAAAAAAAGCTATTTTTAAAAATGACTATGACCTGCATGCATGCAAGCATATAACGAAAAACTTCATTGGTTTTGAAACTGAGAATTTTTTGTTACGGGGTATACTATGAAACCAGTGCTTGTTGACTAGAATTGGTCAAAAGGTTTCCAGCTGATTGGCCATCAATTTTACAGACTTTTTTTACGACAGCTGCAGCTCTGTTCCTTTTACTTTTTGTGTAATTTCCTGTATTCTAGATAATGTCACTCTAGTTTAAAATAATTAACATAAATTAGACACACAATTATTTAAACAGAAAATTAGGATTAGATACATTTGAAAAGGGTTAACAAGAAGTTCAGTATTGCAGAAGGCGATCTGAGAGACTGATAAAGTTGTTTACTCCTCTCTTGACTGCCATGAAAAACCTCAGTGTTTAAATGATTACAAATAGTTTTCCAACAGCGGCGGCTCCTGGTTCAGAGTCTCTGACCTCGAGTCTGCGGTCTGCCGCATCTAATCGGAGTGAGGGGGGCACAGAAATACAGGAGGTGGTGACCAAGAGGAGCAGAGTGTGACAATCCATCACACACTTTAGAACTATATGAGCAGTAATGGACTAATGGGAAGGCAGGACCACCTCTTCATTTCTGCTGAATTAGCTCTGGGTTGGCTGCCTCTTAACAACAGACGATGTCAGCAATGTGTCGGCCTGTGTGAGGGAGCGCGAGGGTATACGAGTGGAAAACAAGTGGTTTTTATCACCGCATGAAACCCAACAATACTACCAGTGAATACTTGAACAGCTGACTGGTGGTTTCCAGCTGCAACAAAACCAAAAGGGAAGGGAACGCACACACACTGTTTTTCTCTCTAACCCCAGCTGGAAGTTGACAACCTCCAGAGAAATATATTTTTAGGCAGGCAGTCTAGTCTATTATTCTTGACGCTTCTGCTGATCTTACTCTTCACTTTTCCTCATACATCAACTAGGTTTTAGGTTTCCTTTAAATACTAATAGGGGACCTCTGTCACAGACCTTTTAATAAAAATAAAAAAAAAGGCCACATATGCAAGTCCTAATTAGGATCCTAGAATGGATTAAATCTCCAGCAGAACACTTGTATAACATCTTCGCAAATGCATATCCCACCTGAGCCTCACAGCCTCAAATAGAAAAAGAAAGAACCCCTGTGGGTGAAGAAGCATAACTTGACGAACAGGAAACCGGAGAGAGCCCCTTCCCCCCCTCCCTCCCCCATCTCAGCTCTAATTAGGCTAACATGTCGTCAGTGGCTGTGGGCTGGTGGCTGGCGTAACTGAGAATTCATAAGTATGTGCTGCCTTGATCTTTTACAGTCAGGCTGTCTGTCTCCATCCCGGCACACATGAAAAAAAAAAAAAAAAGACTCCGCTACCATGGCTACAGCAGCCATACCAGCAGCTCCATAATGCTAAGCCCCCAGCTTCAACGTCTCCAGCTGTTTACTGTAGACACAAGCCACGCCTAAGCCCTCTGCTCATTACTTACTTCCTCTTAAAAACTCCTCCAAAAACTGGAGTCTGTTTGGATTGTGACTGATGAGAAAATTACTTAAAAAATCTACAGCATGTTTTTAAAGTTTTGATTTAACTCCAGGTTGGTTAAACTTAAAAGTTCAAGATAATAAAAATGTACCCTAATATTTCAAAAACATTCATAAGAATAAATATTTCAAAATGATGTTGTTTTTCCAATTATTTGGTCACTAAAGCAATTTCCATATTTTGCTATATCTCTTAACTATTCAGTTTGTAGACGCTGTGTGCCGTGGCTTCTTGTATAGAAAACTGTTATGTGTCTAAACTAACACTTTTTATAGGGATGTCCTGATACAACTTTTATTTATTTCCAATTTCAAACCTATCTTGCACCTATTGGAACTGACCTATACAGATGTTAATCAGACACTATATGAGCACAAATAATACATTTATTATTTCTTTTTGTAGTGTGTGGAATGATAGAAAAGGGTTGATCAAGTGATCTTACTCAAATCGAGAACAACAGTCAGCAAAAGTAGATATGACAACAACTGATTCCATTTATCATTAACCAATAGGTAACATAAGCTTTAGACAGAAGCAGGCGCAGGCCGATGTAATTCGATTTGGGTTTTTATCCCCATATCGGGTGGATTTCCGATGTTGATATCGTATTGGGACAGGGCAGCTAGCTTACAAGGGTAAAAAACAAATATAAACATTTTAGAGCTCAAAATACGTTTTTTTCTTAATGCTATGCATTATTAGAAAAATGCTTTTTATTGATTTAAACTCCATGTCTCAGTTTAATTTCATCCCTTAATTTACGCTGGTCCCTCAATTATTATAATCAACATTATCACAAAAATTACAATTTCATTTAAAGCAGTTTAGTACGTTGTGAGTAAATCATTCTTCCATATCCTGGAGACGGGGAACCATCTCCTCCCTTGCTGTGTGCCAAATCTATAAAAAGACCCCTGAACTGCTGTTAATCCTTGGAACAGAACAGATTGCCCCGTCAACACATTCTAATCCTATAATTCAATGTATAAATACGAAGACATTTGCGATATTTTTATTTGAAGGAGGCGACGGTGACATATGATCTTGCATAAAATACGTTCTTGAACTTATCCAGAGGGCCCTTAACATGATGGATAGCCTCTTACACCTGCTTTCAGTTAAACAGGTTGTCTGTCTGACCCCTGCAGATCAATCCGCCCGCTCCAGTCTTCTCTACACAGGAAAAGCACAGACCCGATCGCCCATCTCTACACCTCGCTCCACTCACTGTCAGAGGCCTCGGCTCGCAGCCCTGGCTTTGTAATTAGCATCACCGCTGACATTCTTTCTAGCCCATAAACTTCACCATGTTTGTCCAACACCCGGTACTTAGATAATCTTTAACAACGGTAACCCCTGGAAACCAGAAAAACAGTTTGGGGCTTTAAAGTGACCGCCTGAGGTCCGAAGCGGCACTCACCCAGAGCTGGAATGTAACAAGGTGGTAGAAGCTGATTTATGCCATTCATCTCTTTACAGTGGGTTTAAATCGGTACTGTGCTGCTAAAATTTGAAACCGCCACCAATATTTACTTTGTTTCCAAGGAGCCAGACCTTCTGTAGGTTTAAGAACGTTTAATGTAGCTGCAAATACTCACCCAGGAACCTTGTAGAGACTGCGGGTCTAAGAGGGCAGGTACTTCCACGTGCTGACGAAGGCAGTAGGAATGAGAGAGTACGGCACGCTGGTCACGCTGTCCCAGGAGTCTGATGACGGGTCATAACAGTCTAACGTCTTACACCTCTGAGCCCCAAAGTACCCTCCAACCACATACAGCCTGTTCCCCGATGCCACGGCATGGCAGCTGATTCGCTTGGCTGTGACATCACCAAACTTTGTCCACTGATACGTCTCGCTGTTGAAACGGTACGCAGAGCTTGCGGAGAACTCTGTGTCGCCTCCAATTACGACGACATGGTTGCCGACGACAGCCGCCGCCGTGTATCGCCACAGCTGTGGGCAAGCTGCCGGCACCGACCACCGGTTCTGGCAGGGGTCAAAGCACTGCACCTTGGGGTATTTGTCTCTGTTTACGCTGGTCCCTCCAAAAGCAAAGAGTTTGTTTTTGGCGCCGACAACGGCGGCGTTGCTCACACCTTCCCTCAGCGGGGCCACTAGGGTCCATTTGTTGTTCTGCGGGTCATACTGTTCAACTTGTTTCAGAGACACAGACGGAGACGCAGGAAACGATCCCGCCAGAGACGTGTGCCCCCCCACCACGTACAGCATGTGGTCAAGCTCTGCAGAGCCATGCCCAAATCTGGCTACCAGCATCGCCGCCGCTTTAGACCACTCGTCATGCAATGTGTCATACACCCAGACATCTTTGGAGGCTCCATTTTCAGAGCCACGGCCTCCGGTAACATAAACCTAAGCCAAAACAAAGAGAAAAAAGATTAAAGTAGTTCTAAAGATGACGTTATAACATAACACATAACTGAAGCTCAGCTTACAAACACATACCTTACAACCAATGGCACAAGCACTGCACTCTTTCCTGGGACTTGGGATATCCGTTTTGGGTGTGATCTCCTTCGTCTTATTGTCAATCATGTAGACTTTATCACACATGAAAGTCTGTCCCCCAAGAAGCAGCAAGGCCTGGCTGACTTTTCTGGGGCGCGCACAGAACCCTGTTACAATGCCGTCGTTCTGGAGAATCCTCATCTTGCACCGTACTGCGTCTTCTACGATCTCCCGCCCCACCTTGTGGCACATGACCAGCTCCTCCGAGGCGACATTCTTCAGCAGGTAGGACTCCGGCAGCAGAGCTAAGCGCACGCAGCGCAGCAGATCGGGCAACTCGCTGTGCCGCTGCTCCATATCTGCCTTCACCCAGTCTATGACAGCATCGTACACCAGACTCTCATCTTCCACCTCTAGTTCTTCGCTGAGGATCAGTTCCTGGACTTTATCTTTTGGCAAGCTAAGAAAGTCCTCTGTTTTGAAGAGGGTAGCAAAGTTGGCCAAACACATCCTCCATGACAGCTCGTACAGCCTCTGACATTGGTGCGCGTCCGACAGCAGCATCATCCCGAGACAATTAGAAGGATGGAGGTTCTTTTCTAGGAATTCCGCCGCTGCGTCACGGATGTCGTGGAACTGAAGCATGTCCCCAGCTTCAAGCAGGGACTCTGCGTTCTCCTCATTGATGATGACCCGAGCCGAATAGGCGTAGTCGAGCAGGAGCTCCAGTACCTCAGGGTGGAGGGAATCGTGGAAGTTGACGTCAGCATCCCGACTCTCCCTGAGGCCACCGCTGAACATGGCCTCAAAGTAGCGACTACAGGAGGCCAGGACGGCGCGGTGGCACGGGAAGGAGCGGTTTCCAGCTTTTAACACGACGTCGGTGAAGACTCTTCGCTTGCGTAGCAGGTTCAGCTGCGTCAACAGGCTGTCGGCGTGTGACGTCTTGTGGAAGAGCTGGATGTTCATCGAGCCGGAGCTGGAGCGTGACTTTCGGTTTTCGTGGTTGCTCACTGACATTGTGACTTTGACCTGGCAACAGCAGACAGTAGGAAAGTGTCAAATTTAACAACATTGTTTTTATTATAGCATCTGACTAATATTAAGGACAATGTAAAAGAAAGTTAAAGACTGAAAGACAGTTAAATCAAGGTATAAACAGATAATTAGATAGAATAATATAATCATGGATGGAAAATCTAATAATTAAACAACGAAATACGTGAAAGAATAAATAAATCGACAGATGGACAATACCTACTTATTTATGGATTAATGGATTCAAAAACATTAATAAATAGAAAGACATCCAAAGGATTAATAAATACTGCAAATAATCACATATACTGTACGTATCAAACACTTAAACTCCAAACTTTTCTGATCTTTGTAGCTGTCCTCTCCACCTTCTTTTGATGCGACCGCTGGCTCCTTGTTATGTGAATAAATAAACCCAGCAGCTGATGAATGATTGCTCAAAAAATAAAACCCTTGCCTCAGCTAAACGGAAATGAACTTCAGACTGTAGAGAGATGAAACGGGATCTGATAAGGGAGCACTCCCAGTGACAAACCAGCATGTGTACACTGTGTGCCACAGAGATTTGCACTGCAAGAATCCAGCAAACATGCATCACTGTCAAGACCTCAAAGACAAAACAATAAAAATGACCCATATTAACTTGTCTTTGAGTATAATTACAGTAAGAAACACCTGGGTGTGTGATCCTGATTCACAGCTCACTGCCCTTATAAACAATTGAGGGCTGTGAGTCACCATCCAACTAATTCCTGCCTGCTTGTTCAGTTCCTCAGCTGGATCACATGGAAGATGATGCCAAAGGCAAAGCTTTCAAACCCACATTTTGCACTGACACCTCCAACCAGCTCCTTCAAGACCAAATTATATAATTAGACATTATATAATACTATTTTTATATCATTTTTAATTTGAGTGTGCTAAATCACAGATCCTGCACACAGATTATTTAATTTCATTGGTATACTATGTTAAACCCAGTCATTACACATTAGTAAAGCATTTACTTCTGGGAAAGATCTGGGTTTAAAAGGCTGCACTCTGCTTGAAAGCGACCAAATGAATTTCTTCCGCTTTAAAGCTTTTTTTTAAAGCGCTTTTGTTTCTTAGTAGATAAATTTAAGTCGGCTATTCACTTTGACTGAAAAGGCCGGACTTCCGTGGAGGGTTTCTGGTTGAAATCCAGCAGTAAATGAGGAGCCCTGCTCAGCAGTTCACCATGCGCCCAACTTTCCTCCAAACTTAGCAGCAGTTTGGCTGCTGCTTAACGATCCGACATCAAAGCATGAATTACAGACCTTTGCAAACACTATTAGAGGTGCAGATAAACACCTAAAACAGTATAAAGTTATACTTTTTTGAAAGGATTAAGCGTATTAACTTACCGTTAGTAGGAGCAAGCAGGGTCGGTCTGGGATTCCTTTATCTTGGCTACAACTTCGCCTTCGATCTCTTTGAAGTTGCGCCGCAATTTAGAGAAATCTGCTTTTTAAATTAACAGCCTTATCTAACCCTAAACGTCTAGTAAACGGTAAAAACGGACGGGCCATTTGTTTACTGGAAAAACTAGGAAGATATCCGAGGAGTAACAAGGTGAAAAGTTAGTGTCTCCAAAGACAGGCAGCGGTTAGAGTCTGAGAGAGGAGAAAAGAGCCGAGGCGTTAGAGCTCCTCTGACTCCGCCCACCCAGCTGCGACTGGCCAATCAGATGCGACTTCCTCTGAAAAGCTTCCAGCTCTATTCATTCATTGCTTTTAATCGCAAAGAACCGCAATAAATCAACCGAAAACACCTGTCATTGGATGCGTCAGCTGACTTTAACAGAAGAAAGGGTTGAAGTGGAACAAAACAATAGAAGAACTTTTGTTATTCAGTTATATTCAATATTAACTTTTTTTCCTAGGGGACTTATCAGCTCCTGCCAAGAAGCCAATTATTTTGGAGGTATGCTAGCAGGGGTTTAACATGATTTCAGAAGCTTAATCTTTAAAATGGGGGCGTTTTTAAATTGAAATATTGCCTCTTGCTTGAAATCCAACCTCTCCCTGTTGAAGGAGGAACCACATAATTATTAAAACCCACAATACATTATCAGCATTGAGTGCCACAATTCAGTAAATAATCCATCCATCCATCCATCCATCCATCCATCCATCCATCCATCCATCCATCCATCCATCCATCCATCCATCCATCCATCCATCCATCCATCCACCTACTGATCCATCCATCCATCCATCCATCCATCCATCCATCCATCCATCCATCCATCCATCCATCCATCCATCCATCCATCCATCCATCCATCCATCCATCCATCTTCCTTCATTTATCCGCGGTCAGGTCGTGGGGGTAACAGCTTCAGTAGAGAGGTCCAGACGTCCCTCTCCCCAGCCACTTGGGTCAGCTCTTCTGGGGGAACCCCAAGGCCTTCCCAGGCCAGCCGAGAAACATAGTCCCTCCAGAGTGTCCTGGGTCTCCCCTTGGGTCTCCTCCCGGTAGGACGTGCCTGGAATACCTCAACAGGGAGCCATCCAGGAGGCATCCTATGCCCGAGCCACCTGAACTGGCTCCTTTTGATGTGGAGGAGCAGCGGCTCTACTCTGAGTCCCCCCCGGAGATGACTGAGCTACTCACCCTATTTAATAAATGCACAATTGATCATATTGGTCTCAAATAAATGGATGCATTTTTTTATTAGTTAAACATGATCATTTCATGATTTTACAAGTTATTTCATGTTGCCGTGCTAAAGCAAACCATATTTCACAGTGGGGATGGCATTGTATCAGATTTAATATTTTCTCTGCTTGAAAAATGGTGAACATGCTTGTAATTGTTTAGATAGAGATAAAAACCGCAGCTTCAAAGGATATGAAAATTATACCTAAATATAAAAAATATTTGCTGTGGTTAACTTTTCTCTTCCAGATATCATGGCGATTGACTTTTGTTGTTTTTTTTTAATTATGTACTGCAAGACAACAATGTCAGTTTTTATCTGTAGTGGAAATAACAAGTATTTGACCAGATACATAAGTGAATACAATTAAGTATAAGTACAGATCACAATCAACTTGAAAAAATGTTATCATACGTTGCTTAAAACACCTTTAAGGATCTTTTAAGCACAACGTAGCATTTATTACTCCAGCTATGACAGATGAACAAACAGAATTACTTTATAAAATATGGAATACTTTTATCTTATAATGAAGAAAACAGATAAACCACACTGTGCTTGATAAAGAAAATAAATGTAATACTGTGCAACTTTGAAATGCTCTAATATTGCAGTTATCATAAACCAGTCATGATTCTATTACTCTTCTGAGACAACCAACTCACACGAGCAGTGACTAAATTATTCAGGTTTTTCCAGCGAGAAGCTGGATTATTCTTTCTTTACATTGTTAAGCCTAGCTTCAATGACTGAATGATACATCAAAGCCTCCACTGCACAGTCACAAGAACAAAGCTCTCAGTAATTGTTAAGAACTGCTTTGAATAAAAAAAGCTATTGTGCTTCCAGTGAGAAAGCTCCACAAGTCACAGCTAAATATTGCTACAACAATACATTGCTGTGCCATGAACAAGTTGTCCCATTAAGGATTTTTCTGGTATATTCTTTTTTGCTTTACTTCAATGTTTCAGATCATTAAGTCAATTTTGATATTTGTGAAATAACCTAGCAAATAAAAAAAAAAAGCCTTTTTTAAGTGACGAACAACCAAGACGTGACATATTTACTGGCAATGATAGCTGTCCAGGAGTTTGTTATATGGTCATGGAGGGATTTTGAATCACTCTTCTATGTAGAATTGTTTCATTTAGGTCACACTGGAGGGTTTTTTTATATTATGAATGAGCTTTTTAGAAGTTCCACTCCACTATCTGAATCAGATACATCTTCTTACCATGAACAGGAAACTCCAAGACCTTCGTTTGGCCTTTCAGAGGTGAGATAGTTGATGCTATCGGTTCTTTTGACCCCAGTGTTTGATTGACTCAGAATGATCCTATGTTGCTGCGTTAGTTTTGCTCCAGATCTAATCTGACTCACACGCTTCAGAAATGACCCTTTCATCAGAATTAAGAGATTATTTTGGAATTTATATATTCGAATCTTTTAGCTTTTGTTCACCTTTTTGTAAGCTTCATTTTAGGCTGGAATTATAAACATTTACACTAGATTCTCGCTTCTAGATATCTATCACTCTGTGCAACTAATTTCAGATTTTTTGCATTTTAACAGCTAAAATATACATTAGTGCTGTTTAACACTCATCAGCTCAGCTAACTCTACACAGACCAACAATCCCAGTGAATGATCATATGATTGAAGGTCTTTCCAAGGCGCCTGAAATAGCTTATTTAGTCGAATTCCTGACATTTTCTGCAGGATCTGAGTACTTGTAAGGTTTCCAAGAATTTATAAAGAATGTCCCAGCATTTCAAACAGGCCTCCACAAAGAAACATTTATTTATTTTGACTGAAACATTATTTCAGTCAAATTCCGCTTGCACAGAAATCAAGACCCAATACTGAACAATACATTATTTCAAGAGGTGCATTTTAAGGTGGAGGCGTGGGCTGTTTCTATTAATGCTTGAGTGACAGATATGTTTAGGTATTTGAGAAATTAAAAACATCTTTCCCAGGACATGCCCCAACATGTTCTCAAGGATATTTAAACATAAAAGAGAAGTTGCCCTGTATTTAGGTGTTCCAGTTTCTCTATTGTGCAAACTGCTTCTTTGGTTTACTGATGGAGCAGAGTCATTGTTTGTGTCATAAGCGTTGCTGCTTTTGTGTTTTGACAGGCCAAAAAGTTTGCACTTCAAAGGAGTTATGTGAAACTTCCTTTGAATTTGTACATAGATTAAGGAGATGAGAATTCCTTTCAATAATGTGCATACATACTAATGTATGGATATTGATATTTAATATGCGTATGGCAGACCCATTTTTTTTGTTTGTACTGCACTAAGTGACCTCTGGCAGCAGGACCCCCACTTGCAGAGTAGATTCCACACTTCTCAGGTTTCCCCTCCTCTCTATAAGCTCTTCTTCTTCTCTCTGTCACTCAGCAGCTGCTTCTGATGCTTCAAAGCTGCTGCTGTTCCTCAGCTGTCACAGTTTGCATGGATGAGAATATGTCTCTGTGCATTTTGCAGTATTCTTTCATTTCATGCTCCACTTCTAATTGTTTCCACCATGATAGCCTCCAATCTCACCAATGCTCAAAATATTTTACCTGGCCTTGCAGAAGTACTCATAACTCTGAGCTTTTCCAAATTCTTTAGCATTTAAACTGTAAACTTTGGTCTATTTAATGTTTTGATTTTGAGAGACAGACAAAGACAACGTTGTGTATGGTTGAAAAAATAATGTAGGTGGATTACAATTTCTATTAATAGAACAATATGAAAAGTGAGGCATCTATTTTTTTTTTTTAAGAATATCTACATCTAATAATAATAAATTGCATCTCTAGAATAGCGGCAGTGGTCCACAACTTAAGGTGGAAGTTCTTTCAATTTTGGCCGTTGTTGGAAAGTTGCCAAAAGAAAGCCAAATCAAGTAATTTTGCAGTTTCCCACAACCCGATATAGGTGACCTTGCAAAGAAGGTGCGATGTCAGATTGGACCAAAACTAATGGCCAACTACATTTAAAACTAGAAATACAAAATATGCAATACATTCATATGTTGGAAGGGAGCAGTACAACTCAAAAGCTAAATCCAACTGGGAATCTGTAGAAAAGAATCTCTTTTAGAAAATGCTCTCTTTTCAATATGACTTGGCTTAAACTATTTTAATAACAGAAAAATGGGCAAAGGTTGCAGCGCAGCAAAACTGGCCCAAACACACCCCACAATATTTAGAGTTTCAATTTTAAATAAAAGGGTAATTTCACAAAAAAGTATTCAGATTTTTTATCCTAAACACCTAAAAGCATGTATCAATTTCCCCCATTTGCTAATCATCTATCATGGTCATGGTCCATCACATAAAAACCTAACAAAACATATTCTTTTTTTCTATACAAAATGAGAAAATGTGTATAGGGTGAGAATCATTTTACAAGCTTTGCCCTGTTTTCCCACCCAGTGGTCTCCAGCTACAGTCAGGGTGTGACTTCAAAGCATCGCTAACCACATACTTTTTTAATTTATATTTTCATAAGGCTGACTGGGTTTACTGGAGCCTTGTCTGAAAGCCGACTGGTCCAAATTCTTAAACACACACAAGTGTGCCTGAAGGAGATTAAGATTTTAAAGAGATTAGATTAATGAACCCATGATCATAATCTCAGGCTAATTCATTTTACAGCACTCTGATCCTCCCCCTCTTTCAGCCAAGCCCTTCTGTGAATCCAGTTTTGTGTAACTCTCCATTAAATGCTCAAAGGCGGGCACGCCACTCATTAGACCCCCAACAATAATTCCCTGATGCTTCAAGCCTCATCAATTCAGCACTGTCCGTTTGCAAGACAGTAACCGTCACTGTATTGTTGCCAAAGGGCTCAATACACCACATGTTTGTTCACTCAAAGCAGGTGGTCTTAAACTGAGGTCAACGTCTGAAACATAAGAAGAGAGGTCATTAGGGGGCCATCTTCACTCCAGAAGTGTCATCACTGAACAAATCAGAGGTTCTTACAACCATAAAGGAATGTGGAAATATTCCTGTATAACAATAAAACTAATAAACAAAATAAAATACAAATGATTCTCTATGCTAAAATAATAATGTTAAAGCTCAATAGATTAGTTTTAACAGCATCATTAAGCAGGTAGAAGAAGATCAAGTTATTGATCCCTGTATATGTTTGTTGGTACATTTAACAAAATAACCAATAGTAGTGTATTTTGCTGCTAACTGGCTTTGCGGAGTGTGTCTCCACCTTGTGGTAAACACACAAAGTTGTGAGTGACAGATAGGGGTTAAAGATCGTAGTCCAACTGCAAATAATAGTGATGTCATTTTTTTTTTTACATAATTGAATAACTCCACAACCATAAAATCAAGATAAACAGGTTGTTTTTACATCATTTTTGCCATAGGTGAAGTATATAGCAACACTGTTCATCTTGAGTAATTTACTGATTCTTTTTAAGAGTTTTAGTTGCCAGAATTATGTAAATCAAATTACTTTGTTAATCAGATACCTAGCTGTAACATGGTCTAAGAGATGCGTTCAAAGCTGCTGTTTCTCTGCTCATCTCTTAGACCTTCTCCTGTCCATTACAAATAAGGATAATAATGATAAAACCCCTGGTGTAACCCCATAGTTTTGAGGGTTGGCAGTTGATCCTTAAGGTAAATGTACTTCAGTCTGAAAAATAGCTAAAGGTGACATGGTTTAAAGCAAAAGAGCATTCAAACTTCACAAAGGTGAACTTTATCTGAGCACATGGACACCCATCAGACATTTCAATGGTGTCTCCTGAAGAGAAAATCCCGGAGACCTTTTCCCTTAAAATATCAAACGGTTCCCTCATATAAAAAAGAAAAAAAAAGAAGTTATTTTACTCACACCCCCAAAACCTTTAATTCCCCACCTCAGTAACGCAATCATTCAAACCAACGCTCTCAAAAAAATATTAGAAAAACTCATAACCATGATTAATGCAACTAGTTTATGAAGAGCACTAATTACCTACTAGGCTACTAGGATGTCCTACTAAACTCAGGGGTTCCAAACATGCAAGCTGTCCTTTTCATGCTGCCCTGGGAAAAAGGCAATACGGCCCTCGGCCAACAAACATCAATAAATTGCACCGTTTCGGTTGAAGGGGCTTTTTTATTTTATTTTATTTTTTTAAAACAATTAAATTTGAATAATCTAAAAACACTTTTTAAAATTAAAAGAGATTGAATCAAACATTAAATGATAAAGAAACAGGGAATGAGTTCTACTTTACAGAGAAACTACACTAACCCCAGACAGACCCATTAACTGCTATACCACCTTGGATACTTTCTGATGCTGAAGTTGATCTTTCATTATTAGAAAAGAAGAACAAGGATACATTTCTAATTATGAATAAATGTATAGTACAATAAAACTTACATATAAATTATGATGACTATATACAAACATACACACATGCATAAAAAAAATACAGCTAATAGGGTAGGGATGGCATTTATTATACCACAGTTTCAAATTAAGGTAGGGAAAAGGATTAGTGATGGAGTTTCAGTGGAGAAATGCTTGCTTTGCTTTTAGCAGTTCAATGGGTGGAAGAGGTTAGACCATTAAAATCATTTGTTCAGATTCTAATTCGTCATTAGTCAGTTTGCAAAATAATCAGTCAGACAGTAGGCCAGATATATTAATCAAAATACACCAAACACTTTACAGAATAAATATGATGGGGCTAGTAGTACATTTTGTTTGGGTTCCGGCACATAACAAGATTAAGGGAAATGAAATGGCAGACAGGATGGAGAGTACAAATAAGGTAAGGATAGATATTCATGTTAGTTTTAATATAACAGAAATAAAGGGTATAATTAAACAAAAACCAAAAGAGAGGTGGCAAAAGTTATGGGAAGAAGAAAAGAAAGGAAGGTGGTTCTATAAAAACCAAAAGGAGAATTGGATAAATGAGAAGAACAGAAAAGGAACAGAAGAGAAGAGATTATTATTTTACGACTTAGAATAGGACACACTACGGAAAAGGATTAGGGCCTCTGAAAATAATCAAAAAAGTTCACAGATTTTTAAATTTTATTTCAGTATAATATGAAAAAAAATTCAGAATTCTGACTCTAATCTCAGAATTCTGACTTCTTTCTCAAAATTCTGACTTTAATCTCAGATTTCTGACTTTTTTCACAGAATTCTGGGTTTTTTTTCACAATTCTGACTGAATTCTGACAGCTAACAAACATTTTAGCATCATACGGAAGAGGATTAGGGCCACTGAAAAAAAAGAAAAAAGTTAACTAATCTTTAAATATTATTTCAGTTTAATATGGAAAACAAGTCAGAATTCTGACTTTAATCTCAGAATTCTGACTTTTTTGCAATATGAAACTGAAATAAAATTTAAAAATCAGTTTGTTTGTTTTTGTTTTCCAGTGGCCCTAATCCTCTTCCGTAAGCATGTTATTTTGAATTGTAGGAAATATTTGATTTGGAGAAATAAGTTAATTAGGAAAATGAAACTTGACATTGTTGATTTACTGAATCAGGAAGCAGAGGATATCAGGTTAAATTTGAGTTTTTGAAACAGATTAAATTGTATAACAGGATATAGCGTTTTCTTTTTTGTTTTTTTGCCATGTAGTTCACACTCCTTACCAGATGGTGGCGGTAATGCTCACCTAAAGCTTTTGCTAACCGCCAAAAAAAAAAAAATTAATAAGAAGAAGAAGAAGAACTACACTACACTACCCACAATGCAGTTTTTTCTTCTTCACGGAAATGACGTTGAACGACTTCCTTCTCTGTCAAGGGCACCGAAAATTGCATTAACCCGAGCAGAGGCTGGCTGCACGTGTAACTGTTAAACAGCCTAATAAAGTGTTTGTCTTTAATCAGACATCAGTAGAAATGGACGGCTTCGGCTCAGACTTCTCAGCAGGAGGTTCCGGCGGTAAAATAGACACCGGAACCATCATGGAGCAGGTTAAGGTCCAGATAGCAGTGGCTAACGCTCAGGAGCTTTTGCAGGTAAACCAATGGACCTTTGATGCTAAGCTAACCAGACACAGCTTAGGGTAACATGATTACCCGATTTTAAGGATGCTAAGTAGCCACATGTTGGCTTTTGATGCATATTCAGAAGCTTATAATGTAATAACATGTCCACTGTTTTATATTTCAGAGAATGACTGATAAATGCTTCAAGAAGTGCATAGGAAAGCCTGGTAGCTCATTGGACAACTCTGAACAGGTGTGTTCTCCAATGGGATTATTAGAAATTAGAAAGTATATGTTTATTATTACCATAGCAACCCATGGCAGAAGTTGACTACACTGCTGCTCAGGACCTCTAAAAGTGGAGGAAGCCCTAATGGATGTTTAAAAAGTTTAAAATTGAAGCTCTGCCTTTAATTTTGCCCTCTGATTAGGGCAAGTAAAAGTATCTTAACTTTAATATGGTTGTTAAAGAAGTGGTGATTGGATAGATATTGTAATTCAGTTGTCACAGATGCACCTTCTAAATCTTGGCATGTTTGCCTATTGCATAAAATGCCCTCTTTTTTTTAATGTAAGCTTTAGATGCTTACATCACTAAGACGGTTAGTAGTATTATGATAAAACGAAACCCAGACTATATAGGCGATTTATTAATTTCATAAAGAAAATATAAAATGTTTTCATCTTAACATATTTTTGTGATATTTCTCAGCTCTAATTATACTTTTAGGCAAAAATGTATTTGTTTGTATTACCTATATTTTGTTTTCTGGTCTTCTTAGAAATGCATCGCCATGTGTATGGACAGATATATGGACGCCTGGAACACTGTCTCCCGAACGTACAACTCCAGGTTGCAGAGAGAACGAGCTCGCATGTGAAGTTGGGCGGGGAAACAAACTCTCTACCTTCTTCACTTATTTCGGGTGGCTGCTGCTTTAAATGAGGACCAGCATAATCCAGCACTGGAGGTCCCCCGTTGGGGAAAACGTCAGCAGCGCAACATACCCCTCTGTCATAATCATTGGCAGGGGTGGCACCTGGACTCCTATCCACAACGATCATTGTGGACATTTTTACTCCTGAGGAAAAGGTCGCCTATTCAGTTGAAACGTTCCCATGTAATAAATGTAGTAACTCGCAGTGCAAAGTGTGATGTTTAACTGTTAAACAATCTGACTCAACAAAAAATGCTTTACATGCTAACAAGGGTGCGTGGGAGGAAAAATGGAAGAAATCAAAGCCCTGTATGTGGAGTTCTCCATCAGCTCTCTATCTTCACTGTAAAATAAAGAAAAACTCTCCTAGAACTAAAGTATACATTTATACCCTCTCATTTATTATCCAAATCAATGCATTTTTTTTATTTTTATTGATTCCACTTCTAGATGAGGCTTGTTGCTGCAGAACATGACCCTCCTTTGCTCAGACGCTCACAAATCTTTGGCTTAAAGTCTTAGGTTGACTGACAGTTGATGTGTTAATGCTCTTGGATAAAGCTTGCCCCTACTGTTAACTCTTGCCAATACCTGGAGGGAAAGATCTCTTCCTTGGAATATCTCTATGTCATTGGGTGCTATTAGCTTATAGGTAAACATAGAACTTATTAAATATCTTCTAGTTATAAATGCATAACATTGACATTTTGGAAATATTAGCTGTAACTTCTAATGAACGAGGTGCCTTTTAAGTTTCTTAGTTGACATTTTTAGCCTTCTAGTCAGCCTATATCAAGCTACAGCTGAAGAACAAAACAGTTTTGTCTGACATGTTTCCTATGTGTTATTCTATCTGCTACCTGCCCACAGTGGTGGACTTGTTTCAGCCAGGGTCTGACGTGGGTAGGAAACGGCACCGTTTCAGTTTTGGGAGTAAATGGCCATGCAATGAGGACAACCCGCCGCACTCACATTTTGGAGGATGAAAAACTGTAAACATCGACTGCATAGTGATTGTGTGCATAATTGGGTAAACAAAAACAAAAATTCTACATGTATCCTATTAAACATGATCAAAGGAAAAATGTTTCATTTATAAAGCTAAATTTGAAGTAATTGCCCCCCCCCCCCCCCCCCCGTCATATAAAAAAGAAAAAAACTTATTTTATTTACACCCAAAACCTTTTAATTCCCCACATCAGTAACACAATCATTGAAAACAAACCCTCTCAAAAAAATATTAGAAAAACTCATAACCATAATTAATGCAACTAGTTTATGAAGAGCGCTAATTACCTACTAGGCTACTAGGATGTCCTACTAAACTCAGGGGTTCCAAAGATGCAAGCTGTCCTTTTCATCCTGCCTTGGGAAAATGGCAATACGGCCCTCGGCCAACAAATATCAATAAATTGCACTTGCAGGGGCTTTTTTATTTTATTTTTTTTTTAACAATTAAATTTGAATAATCTAAAAACACTTTTTAAAATGAAAAGAGATTGAATCAAACATTAAATGATAAAGAAACAGGGAATGAGTTCTACTTTACAGATAAACTACACTAACCCCAGACAGACCCATTAACTGCTATACCACATTGGATACTTTCTAATGCTGAAGTTGATCTTTCATTATTAGAAAACCCCCATTATTAACCCCCCCCACCACACACACACACAAACTTTCCCAAGAGCAACCTTGGTTTGGAGTAGTCATTGCCACTCTTGCTCCCCAGGCTGTGCAGTGGCAACCCCCTGCTGCCCAAAGCTTCAGTTAAAAGCTGAGGACATTAGATTTAAATGTACAAAAGAGGCATTGACATGTATATTTATAAACAGAGCATTTTTATTATTAATAGCACTGTAAACCATCTGCTTGTATTTGCACTATAGATCTACAGGAATCTTGTGATGCAGGCAAATTTGTTAGAATGAACTTCAAAGCTAAGTAAAGAGCATCAAAATGCTTCATCTTCTATTGCAACAGTGCATTCTCACACAGAACCATAGGAAGATATAACCATTACTTTGTTTAATTTACATCTTAAAATCCATAGTTTTCTTGACTGAACATATTAGGAGCAGATGTAAAACAGAGCTCCTGAAATAAATGAAGGGAAAATCTGGGTTTTATTAGGTCTCCATGACAACCAATTAACATCTTCTTGTAGATACGACATACCCCTTCCTCTATCCAATCCAGATTCCCTGAATTGATAGGTTTGTCCTTTCAGTAATAAAAAAATAAATACATGTTAGCCTGTCAGGAAACAGTAAGGATGTGAAAACACACCTCATGCCACTGGTTTGGTATAATAGAGGGTCTATGATGCTGTGGGGCCTACTTTTCTTCTAAATAGCACCTGAAGCTGATACTAGAGCATGTTATGAATGATTTAAAATTCCAGAACAATTAATAAAAACAAAAATCTAAACCGCCAGCAAGTTGAAATTGAATTTTTCATCAGTGAAATGTAGGAACTAATGTGACCAAATCAAATCTATAAAGGTTTAATCAAACACTAAATAAAACTTCTATTGGCGTCTGAGTCCCAGACAAAAATTCCTGCAGAAAACCTGATGGGTGAGCTAAAGACAACAGGAAAGGACTTCTGGTTTATGACCTAGAGATCTACAAACAAAGACAAAGTGTACAAAATATTGACAGCATGATATCTAAAATTGTTCCATAATTAAGTTAAAAATACGTCTTAAAATGCATTACCTTCCTTAGTGTATTATTATATCTTATTATAATTTTCAATGTGTGATTATACCACTATGGTGAAAGATTTATTCCTTTTAAGACATTTAACAAATCATTATGAGTGGTTAAGAAATATGACATGGTGACATGTTTTAGGTAATTAAAAAAATGAAGAAATCCATCTCAAACAACCCAAATAAAGACAGAAAGCAATTTACATATAATATACATTTAATAGGGAAAAAGTTTAACCAAACCAACCTGGCCATGTGACAATGTTATTACCCCCTAACGAACATTGATTAATAATTTTTTTTTTATTAATAATTTTTCCGTCTAATCCAGGGTTCTTACTTCCAAACACATAAAATTAAATATTTAAACAGAACAGAACCTCTCTGACAGGATGAAGTTGGCTAAAAGTCTTTAAAAAGCAGAATGACATGCCTTGATCTAAAGAAATTCAACATTAAATGAGAAACCCAATCAATAAGCATCAATCAGCTTGTGAAGGGCTGTTAAACAATTCCTAAGTCTTTGGGATTCAAATGAACCACACTGTTGTTCACCAGTGAAGCAGTGGCGAATCTCGGTGACTCAGCTTCAGAATTATTGATACTTCAGAAAGTATTTATACTAAAACAAGGTATCCGGATACATGACTAATTCGGCATAATAAGGATACCAAACAGAAGTGCTGTTTGCATATTTTTCTCTTGTTTACTTCAGATTACTGACTGACTGGCAAATTAAAATAATTTTAATATTTCCAGAAAACCCGCAAATATTGTCCAATTTTTTTACATAAAAAGTATTTTTTATGCCTTCAATTATTTGTCATTTTTTATCCACATGGTATGGTATAAAATGGGGTTATAAAAAAAACAAATCCCTGAATGTTGGAATTGTAACTATACAGCCATATGTTTACATTATCACTGCTGCTTACCTTTATCAAGGCTGCACTTTAAAAAAGGAAAATGTCTTGAGAGCTGCACTGAACAACATTTCTTTTTGTATACACTTGTGAGTACAAAATGACAAATAAAGTCTGTCTAAGTATCAAGTATTGAACATTTTCTTGGATATCAATTTTCAAATTTGAGCATCTGAACCATAACAAGGACTAAGTTATATAAAAACCGAAAAAAAAAAAGTTTTTATCAGTTAGTCATTCATTATTCAGGCTGGCTGAATGTGTCACCAATAGGAGAGCGGCAAGATAAATCACAGCAATTATTTGATTTCCTATATTTAGATGATCTGAAAACTTCAAGATTTTAAACAGACTGCCTTTGTTAGGAGCAGAAGGGTTTGCATTAAAATACTTTGTTAAAAACAACTCCTATATGTAATGGCATATCCCATTGCGCTGCTGTCCCTGTTAATAGACCATAGAAAATTGTTCTTCATGTCGTACCTGAGACATCAAAGCTCTGTGGAAAGCTGCTGTTGCAAGGAATCAAAACATCACGCAAATGTCCGGATCTCCAGTATCATTCAGCATTCAAGCCTATCATTCAAGCTCCATGCTGTTAACTGTCAGTTTTTAACACTGATGCTAATCAGTGTACTATCAGAAAACCCAGCAGTATACAAATTAAAAGAAATAATACCATTACCATTATTCATACCCATCAGGAGAATAAATTAATGTAATAAATATTTGAATAATGCCTCAGTTTGTTGGTTGTGAGTTAGCCACACATAATACCTCATCAGAACATGGTGAGGGCTCCGGGTTAGGCAATGCAGTGTTGCAAACAGCACCCATGACACATATGTCAAAATTTTGTTAACTGAGCTTATGTTTATCTGGCCAAAGCCATGACTTTAGTCCTTGTACAGTACAGTTACGTGGAGGCAAATTATCTGTAAAATTCTGATGTTCTGTCTAGTTTTTTGTTTCCAAATCTCCTCAGAAAGGTAGATGTGTTGATATCCACTTCCGGACAGACGTCACCCGAGTGTAAACCCCAGGAAAACCAGATCGTCCACATCCATGCCCCCAGCTGGTCACACCGGCAATAAACCACTGGCCAGAGTGGTGACGGCACGTCAGCGGCCCTCCAGAATCACCCTGGAATGGTCAAGAATAGGGTCATTAGATAGAACTAGAAAACTGTAACTGAACTTTTGGTCGCTGGTAAATAAAAACAGCTCAGAATCAGATAGTAGAGCCTAACAGGCAGCACATGGACCATTTTCTTAGCCTCTGGCTGAAATTGAAAAGTAACATAAGGGACGTTTACAGAAATTAGAGATTAATGTTTCTAATAACTTTCTTTTCTTTCCAATTTAATTTTACAATAAATATAACCCCCAATATCCAGCAGCTGTGGGCTAAAAGCAGACTCTAAAAGAATGGTTTATTAAATATGCCTAAATACAGCCAGAGCGTTAAATGTCTTTAACAGCCAGAGTGACCAATATCTTGTCCTTGATGCATATAAGTAGTAAAAAACAAAATCTACCACACATGCAAATAGAAAGTAGCTAACCTCAAAAGCTTTACCTTTAAGTGTTTTTCTTTTTTTTTTTTTTAAGTGAAAATGAGGAAACTTTGTATACCCTTGATAATGAAATCTATAACAGATCCATTATGTAAAAAAGGAGACTAACTTTGTAGATTTAATAAGAATATTTCAGGTTTAGTCTATGATTGAGAAAATAAAAAAAAACAATCACAATATTATTAATCTAATTAATGAAATAAATTGATGATGCCAGGTTCTTTGAACACAGCAGAAATTTATTTATTGATTGTGTGAGAAGTGCCAGAGATGTTATTTTATTTTATTATTATTATTCTTTCTTATCTCCTGTCTCAAAACCCAGAAACCTTTAAAGAATTCAGAGTGCTCTGCTCACATCCCATCTAATCACCCACAGTTTAAAAAGTAACCAACTTTACAACACCCCTTAGAAGTCATACTTGCAGCTCAAAGTCTGCAGAGAAAGGATCATCTTGGCATACATCTGGACACAGATACTTTTCCTTCTTAAAGAACCACACATGGTGTTCCTTACCAGGCAGCTGTCCCGTCCTCCCTCCATTAATCCGGCACACATCATGTTAGGAGTCAGCACGTTGCCATAAGCCTGCTGACAGTCCTTCTGCTTAATGATGTTCACTGCAGCTTTCTGCAACAGGTTGGTCAGTGAACCTGGGGAAAAATAAATCCACACATATCTACGCTGAAGATGTGTAAACATGTTAGAATAAATGGATCTTTCTCGCATTCTTCTTTACAGAAGAGTTTTAATGAAGGTCTTCTGTAAAGAAGAATGGGCAGACATTCATCCACAGACAGAAGAATATTTGATGATAACAATAATAAAGAAAAAGAAAAAAACAGAGTTAGCCTCACTCACCTCCTTCCCTGATGGATCCCCAACCTGTGATGTAGCACTCAGAGTCCTCCAGAAAGTGGTGCACAGGAGAGGGGAGACATGCTGGCTGGATGGTGTAGGACGCTGGGGCTGGCTCTATCAGCTCCAGCAGAGCCACATCATGGTCCATGTTGTTTTTGTTGAAAGCTGGGTGGATAATCACTCTCTGTATGGGAATAACCAACGCACCGGACCCAGAACGCAGCACAGATCCAAGGCTTACAGCCCAGTTAGTGGGACTGGAATCACTAAGGATGAGGACAACGCATTAATACTCTTAGTCAGGCCTTTTATTTGTATCATTCAGATGTCACCACTGTGTCTCTTCACTAGAGATGTGTTAGTACCCATTGAAACAGTGTGCAGCAGACAATAACCACTTGCTGTGAATAAGTGTGGTGCCACAGCGATGTTGTCTCTGGTACTGCAGACTGCCGATCCACGGCCACTCTCCCCTCCGAGCTGTGACTCCACCTATGATCCGCTGAAACCCCAGCGCAGGACGAGCACCACAATCTGTGACAAAGACAAGGCTTAGGTAGCATGTTGGTAAACCCCAGCATTTACGCTGCTTTATCAGGTAAAGCCTTACTGCAGTTTTTCTCGTCTGCTTCATTGGGGCAGTCAGGGATCTTATCACACTCTGGGTTGATTTTGCTGATGCACCAACTGGAGCTGCACTGGAAGTTTCCACTGCAATTCATGGCTGGAATGCAAAATTGTTTTACTGCCTAAATAGGTATAATAATGTTTATACTAAATGATCAAATCTAAAATTTGATGGCAATTTCACCAGGTACTGATACAGCAGGTGCTTCCTCCTTTCCTTCAGTCTGAGACACTGGAAGGTTGTCAGAGAACCTGTGGGTGACTGGAACTGGAATGGTTGGAGCAGGAACTGGTGGGGCATTGAAGGTAGCCTGATCCGAGTGCCTCAGAATAAAGTTTCTGAGCTTGGAAACACGGGCGTAAACTCCAGGCTTGTTGACCTGGGCACATCCCCAACCCCAGCTCACCACCCCAGCCAGGAAGAACCTCCCTGGACTCCCTTCACACACAAGGGGCCCCCCGGAGTCACCCTGTAGGTGACATACATGAACATGGGTTTAAATGGCAGAAAATACTGGAGATAATTAACTGAAGTTTGTTCAATTTTAAGCTTTAGCTGAGCTACAAACACTTTTTTTCAAGAACCATTGTTGTTTCAAACAAAAGAGTCGATAATCACAAAAAAAGCCCCTTATGGTCTAAACTCTTGGTCCCACAAATCTAAACGTTAACATATTAGCAAAATGATAGGATCTGCTATAAGGCTCCACCTTATGTGAGCCTCCACTCACCTGGCAGGAGTCCACCTTTCCCTGCAGGAATCCAGCACACATCATGTTCTGAGAAATGGCACCTCTGTACACGGACGACTGATTGCACACCTTGGAGTCGATGATTCTGACCACAGCTTTCTGCAGCACATTTGGCACATGTACTGAACAACAGAACAGCACAAATCAACATGTTGTTATTCCCAATGTCTGCTCTTCAAATCCTATAAACAAAGAAAGCTTTGGATATTCATCTCTTAGTGCTACTTAAATCATTTCATAGACAAGATTAGACGCCCCATCATTGTATTGTAGCATATGAAGATACGTCTGAGAACTAATCTTTTAAAAAGCTTCATCTTATGGTTTGAAAATTTGCATATTAGATTGATTGGGCTTGGGGAATTTTAGAAGTATGTTAACATATGAGTCCCTTCTTCTTTGCGTGAAGCTGTGATAATTGACTTCTGACTCTCTAGCATCCCCTTTGTCCTGCCCTGTGACTGCTGTGGGTAGGCAAAAGATGATTCTCCTTCCTTAGCTATGAATCCCTGCAGCTCCTCCAGAGTTAACACAAAATGTCTACCTGGTTCACCGAACCTGTTACTTTTTTTAGTTTGAAGTTCAGCCACACTTGTTTTTTTTTATTTTTGTTGTTGTTGTTTTTTTTCGGATGATGATCCAAAAATAATGAATTTGTAATATTATTAAGGACCTTCTTTAAATTCCTCCATCACTTTGTCCCTGACCTGCCTGATCGGTCGCTTGGCTTCATTAGGTTTGTCACTGAAGAACTATAATGCTCTAACACCGCTGCAGCGGGAACATGGTAGCCTGACGTAGTCCGACTCAATTCTAGTCAGAATATGAGTCTGATACTGCTCCATAGAGCTGTGATTATGGGGCGTGTTTCAAACGAGCCAGGAAAAAAAAATGCCTCTGCACTCAATTGGATAGACCTACAACCAATAAGAGCAACGGAGTGCGTGACGTATGTTAAGCGAGGCATAGTTGTTGTCAACAAAAATCAAAGCGTGCAGTTGCACCCCTAGAATAAGAAGATGAGCCTTGATCGTGTTTCTCTGTTCCTCTTTTAAAATTAATTTGCTGTCGATATCTTCTAGAACAGACCTAATAGCTGAATCTACACACCTCAACTCTCCAGCGGCAGCCATTGTTGTTGTCACCCAAGCGCGCTTTGGTGACGTGGTTGATTGCGTTACTGTTGATCATCTGTCCATCATCGTATAAAGCCCGCCCTGACAATTTGATTGGCCCGCCAGATATCGTGCGAGCATACTCGCGCTACCATTGAGCAATGCCAGATCAAACTTCCCCACCTCAAAAGTTGTGGGCGGGACTAAGTTCGGAATGGCACCCAGGCTAGGAACATGGTAAAATAAAATAAAAATTAAATCTGTACCTTAATAACAGAGAAACTTATTAACCTAAAATAGTACATAAACAGCTGCCTTTGACCTCCCTACATATATGGTATCCAAATAAAACACTTCAGGTGACCGGGAAACACCATTCATTCAAGAGTGACAGTGTTGTCGTGTCACTATGCCCCCGAGTGATTATGTATCCTGGCTATTTGGCCTCAGGGATATTACTTTGACTGACTGGTAAGATTGCATGACTTACATCCACAGGTCTGTGGAATCAAATCCTGCTGGGCCCTTTGTTGTGTACCATACCACAGAAGCAATACTGATATGTGTGGTTCTAGACAGCGGCCAGCAGTATACTAAAAGTATATAAGTCCATTTTTCCTGGAAAAAAAATTTGCATTTTCCCTAATTTTACTAATGGAATAAGATGATTTACATTTTAAATAATAACTAAAAAACCTCCACTTCTTGAGTTATTATATGTCATTTCTGTTTAAAGGGCAAAATTACTAATTCTTTTGGCAGATAAACCTGCTCAGTTTAAGGGCTTATTTTAAGACATTTTTACTTGTTGTGATCGGTAATACCAAAATAATTTCTCATCTTTCTTCTTTTGAGAAGAATCTTCTCAAAAGAAGATTAAGAATCTAACAGAATCTGCTCTTACTTCGTATAGCATTCTCAAAACAAGATCAAAAAGATTCAACAGATCCTGATTAGATTAACATTTTTTGTTGTGTGTAACTGATTTGCCCCTTGGAACAATTTAATAGTTTACCTTTACTATTTCACTCACTGTTAAGCTTCAGCCATATTAGGATAAAACAACAGTTTCCTTTTTTATTTTATATACTCTATATACTCAGAGGGAAATTACTTCTCTGCATTTAACCCATCCCCTTGGGGAGCAGTGGGCTGCCATTGCGCGGCGCCCGGGGAGCAGTGTGGGGTTAAGGGTCTTGCTCAGTGACCCAGAGTGGCAGTCTGTGGGAGTGAACTCACAATCTAAGGATTCAAAGCCCTATGCCCTAACTACTAGGCCGACACTCCCCCAATAAATAAAATCCAGGGGAGAGCGCATACGCAGTCCCGCACTCGAGATTCCCACATTTGGGGAATTCGCAAAGGTCAGCACAGCCGGGGTGCAATGGCCAAGCCGCACTCTGGGTGAACCTCCTTCATGATCAAGGTATCACCCCTGCAAGGTAAGATCATTTGCTAGATCAGGAGTCTAAAACCATTTAGTACACTTTTATTGTTATTTCTTTTTTTATTGTCTTTGTTATTATTTTTGCTCTGTGCCCCCATGAAAAACACATTAACACCTAGGCAAGTTTTGTGTAGAACCACCGCTGAATGCTGATTTCTAACATTAAGTGGTTTAATGTGAGTCACCGTTATTAATCTGTTGCAATAAAGTTTGCATGCATGCAGACTCACAGCTAAACTGCTGCAGAGCCCCCCAGCCGGACACAATGCAGTTCTGACCGGGCTCAAAGACGTATGATGTGGAGGGAATGCAGACAGGCTGGATGTAGGAGTTAAAGGTGAGGGGGGTCTCCAGCTCCAGGACAGCCACATCATTATTGTTGGTCGTTGGGTTGTATTCAGGATTAACAATGATTGACTTGATCTTTACTACTTTTGACTCATCCTCTATGCCGTTGACCAGTCTGGCTCCAACCAGGATTGTCCAATCACTGGGATCAGTAGCACTGATAACAGAAAACACACATCTCTTGGGACTCATTTAAGATAGTTAAATATCTAATTGTCAAAAAAAAAAAGGGAAATCTACCCTCCAAAGCAGTGTGCTGCACTGACAATCCAGCGCTCATTGATGATGGAGGCTCCACATGTGTGCCTCGAGTAATACCTCAGGCTGACCTGCCAGGGCAGCTCCCCTTGTCGAGCATCCTCACCGCCGACTATCCTACTCCCCATGGCTGGGCGTAAACCGCAGTCTGTCAAGATCAGCCAGGGGAGAGTTGACGTGAAAAAGAGCCTACTGTATGTCAGTGAAGGGTGCAGCTGTTTTTGCAACTGTCCATGCAGGGTCAATATCAATCAATAGTGTAAAAAATTATATATTCTGATATGATCTTATTCTGATATTATCTAGGATGAAAGAAGAGCTAACCACAAAGAGCCTCGTCGGATGCATCCGCACAGTCAGGGATAAAGTCACAGTCTGGGTTCTTTTTAGTGATGCATTCCCCATTGTCGCAGGTGTAAGTATTTTCAGGACACTTTGCTGCAAATCCCAGATGTAAGAGATAATGATTAGATGAGGGTGGAAGGGAGAGTATTAAAACATCATTTTAGATACTGTAATAGAAGATATGTTTCCTGCGAAAGTTTCATGCCTGTTGAAGTTTCTATATTTTTAAAATGTTAGATCTAGAAACTTAAATATCATTTATCTGTTTTTTTAAGGAGATGCACTAACTAAGCAGTGTACAGTTGTGAAGTGGAAGGAGAAGAGTTTTATGCTTTTACTGGCAGTCAGAAAATGAAATGACCAAAAAGGAAGGAATACATTTGTGTAACTTGTCAAGATAAGATGGAGTGTTTTTTTTTGTGTAGAAATATGTTTCTGATCTAATACATTAATCTAAAGCTCTGTTTTTGTCATTATCATGCTGAAATGTACACCTTATGTCCAATAATAATTCTTCTCCTGCCACTTTTTTTTAACAAGGTTTCCACTGTATGACCCTTCATCCATCTCTGCACACATTTAGACAAAGCATCCCCTTAGCAGGATGCTGCCACCACCTTGTTTCTCATCGGGGATGGTGTTTTCAGAATAATGTGCAGCTCTGCTCTTTTGCCACACACTATTTGGGATGTAAGCTGAAAAGATCTGGTCTTACTAGAACATCATCATCCTCCTTCACATGTTTGATGTGTCTGCTATATTTCCTTTGGCAAACTGATCTTCTCTTGGTTCCGCCTTTAACAAACCTTTATCACCACTCCCAAAAAGCCACCAATGGCCCCGTGGCTATAGAAATAGTTTTGATTATTTGTCTTTGCCTTATTTATTGCATTCTGAGCCAGATATCTCTAGAAAAATGTCCTTATGGTCTGATAACGACAATAAAGAAGCGTGACTCCTGTCTGATTCTCTGATGAATGCTCTCTTGTTGCAGCAATTTCTAAATAGAAATGCAAAACATGCTCTTTAGATTTTTATTACAATTATAATTTTGCTTCCATTTACCAACCATTTGGTGTTTGATCACCGAATACAGTTATATGCCGTAATATAATGTACAGTTCAAATGTGACCTGGTTATATTTATATATTCTTTAAACAATTTTCTTTAGTAAAACACATACTCTTTAGGATAAACTTAAATAGAACATTTCAAAATTCAAATCAAATTTGCAGCTTTTTTTTAATGAGGACAATTGAACAACTCACCCATCGAGTCATCTCCAATGACATAAAATGACTTCCCACTGGCCCCTGTAGGAGACGAGACAAACATTTAATGATCCCATTTTTTTTATAATCCAGCCCCAAGTTATCACAATGATAACGTCACTACCTAATAAGACAATAGCGCTGATCTGTCCAAACCCAGGCACCTCCAGTGGTTTCCCATGCATCACTGAGCTGAGCCCTGCTCTCAGTAGGTCTCGCACAAAGTTGTCTGAATACTGCTGGAATTTGGACACCCTGAAGAATAGCCTTAAAGTTGCCATTGTGTTATCATTCATGTTACTGTAAGAAAGGGAGAAAATAGTCATGTTTTAGAGTTCTGATGTTTCCTGATGGTTAAACTACCTCTCTTTCTTACCCATAGGCAACAATGCTGCAGTCATTATAATGATGTGATATAGATGAGGCAGTAAATATATCTTTAACCTGAAAGAACATCAACAATTACAATGTAATCCTTCTTTTATTAAACATTGTGTTTTTAGCATCATAGCCCTCACCTTGGACTTTAAAGCTGAGGAAAGTATGATAGAGAAACCAGAGTTTTCATCCTGCAGATCTGAACTATACTTCAGGCCCCTCAGCTCCACTGTCTCCAGGAAATCGTGTGGCTCCTCCAGCAGGTATGCTGGCAGTCAAACAGAGGAAAGAGCTTTTAATCGCAATCAACAAAGCCTATGTAATAGGTATACAGAAGATCCTAGCAATCATAACAAAACTTTAAAGAGTTGAATTTACAAAAGGATTCAGGGAATTCAGTTGGGACAAAATAGGACACCCAGGATGTTTTTTTTTTGAAGAAAAGAAAACATATTTTTTTAAAGTTCTGAAAAACAAAAACAGAAATTTCTGGAAAGGACCAAATTAGGACACCACTACATTCATAAGCAGCATTGTACAGCATCTTACATACAGTAGTTAAAATGTAATTGTTTTGAAGGTTGTTTGTCTGGTCAATCCTCAGACTTTCAGCCTGGAGTGCTAAAGAGAGACAGAACATCGTGGTAAGATGGAAACAACTATCTTCAGAACGACAGCTGTAGCAGTTTTTGAGTTTGGTAAAGGATATAAAGAGGTCTCAACAGAGAAGAGATTAAGAAGAGATATGCTAAGTCTGTCCAAGTCAGTTCATCATAAGTGGAAAACTGTAAGATGTTAAAACTAGTTGCCAAACAAACTAACATGTCACAATAGCACCTACAGCAGTTCTGAAAAAGTAAAAAAAAAAAAAAAAACAATCCACTGGACTTTGTTTTCAAGGTTTGAAGATGCTTCGCTTACCATCCAGGAAGCGTTCTCAATTCAAAATGTAGGCCCAGTAGTGTGCCGATCTGGTCCGGAGTGAAATTAGTCCTATTGTTTAAGTCACTATCTTGTTGAAGACGTGTCCTGACTGATTCCCCTGCCTCTGATATAGGTATGCATGTGAAAAGTGAAGTAATATCAAACGATACCAGGGTTTCTCCTGGCGCCATCCTTACATTTTTTACTTTGTTGGCAAAGTCATAGAAAACTCCAAAGACTTTGCCAACAAAGTCAACAATCAGGTTCAATTTGCATGTTTCCAAGCAATACAAGGCCTTGGCTATATAAAGCCTCAAACTCAATGCGAATTCAGACAATTTGAATTGAGAAAGCTTCCCGGACCTTGGAAACAATGTCCAGTGGATTGTTGTTTGTTTTTTACTTTTTCAGAATGACTATGACCTGGATGACTGAGAATCTTCACCAGCACACCTACAGCAGTTTTTTTACCCATGTTGATATGAAACTGCATTCCTCTAACATCAAAAAGAGAAAGCACAACTTTAACTTCCATTGACCCTGTGCAAGGGGGAAAACCTTAGCTCTCCAAGAAAGACAGGAAGGCCAGACTGAAATTTGCCAAAACAAAAACTAGGACTGCTGGAATAATTCTTTTAAGACTGATTCATCTAATCAAATTATCTGGACACCAGATCGGAAATAATGTTTTGCATAAAACAAACACAGCTTTAAGGAAATATAACCTCATTCCAACTGTGAAGCATAGAGCTGGAACTGTCATGGTTTGTCGTTGCTTTGCAGCAGCAGGACCTGAATAGCTCATTATCATAGAATCCACCATCAATTATACCTGAGGAACATCTGAGATGTTACAGAGACCTATTAAACGCAATTAAGCAGAAATGGACCATGAAACTTTGCATTGTGGTAAATTCATCAGGAACTGGAAAAGAACTAAGACTGAATCAACATGCTGATCTTTTGTTTAATAAGTAAAATTAGAATAGAAATCATTAGTCAATGTTTTGAATACAGTCTCTAAGTAAATTATTAATGGGTGATCTTTTATAACTAGTTCCAAATTAACAATAAAAAAAAAAACTTTATGTACTTTGTGGAATTAAGAGTTGTTGTTTTTTTTTATTGACTCACCAATAGCAAGGCCGGCAAAGATGCCTATAATGAGGAAAAGGAGGACGCAGATTGTGACTACGCCTTTATGGCAGCCGGTGCTGGAGGGTGAGGATGACCACGACCCTCCTCCACCATCCTTACTGACATCCATGTTGGACTCTGGGCACCAGCCTCACATTTAACTGTCTTCACAGTGATGGGTGTACAGAATGAGTCAGGCCTGTTAAAACAACAGCAGATATTATATGACAGAACTGAATTGTATTACTTAACTCACGTTGTTATAAGTTCTGGATAGGAGAAAGAGTGTGGAGAAATGGAAGGTATCAGATGTCACTGCAGGTGATGCTATCCGTCTGCATACAAGATGATAGTATATGTTGAGTTTAATAGAGTGTTAACATGTTTTTATATTTAGGGTTTATTTGGATTTTGTCAAATAAACCAAAACTTCTAAATCAAACTACCTGAGATGGAACATATCTACTGCATAGCTTAGATATGTTCAACAAGAAAAACTGACTAGATGAGCTCTAGATGATCCACAACGCTACTCAGGGAATCTGTAGACAGGACAAGACCCCAATTATTTAATTTGATCTTAAAGTCATAACTCCCTTTGTTTAGGAGTCACCCAGTCCCTACTTGCATGTCTGCAGCTGTTGCAAAATGCAGCTGATTGACCTTTAACAGGTACACGTAGAAGAGAGAACATCATCCCAATTTTAGCTTCTGTTAAATGGCTGCCTTTGTATTTCTTTTTAAAACTCTTCTCTCTTTCTTTAAGGTTTTAGACAACCTTGCTCCCCCTTACCTAACAGAGCTCATCCACAGTTATGTTCCTCCACGGCAACTCAGGTCCGCTGACCAGCTACTCCTGGTTGTCCCAACCTCTAAGTGGCAGGGCCTTCTCTATCGGGGCCCCTGAGTTATGGACAACTCTGCCACATTACTGTCCATTTTCAAAACCTGTCTAAAATCGTATCTTTACACATCGGCTCACACCACAAATCAGACTTGATTTTACTTATTTTTCTCGAAATTTCCCTCTTACCCTCTTATTGTTGATTTTATCTATTTATTTTGTCATATTTTATTTTACAGATATTGTAATATGATTAGCTTATTAACCCATTGTGAAGTTGATTATAATGAACTGTTTGATGTACAATTCCGAGTTGCCAGAGAAAGTCCCATTTCCGGTTTGGCTTAAGCCATTTAGATATATGCAAAACGTGGAGAAGAAAATGAAAGGAACATTTTGAGCAATATGTTAAATGCTACATCACATGAAGCGGACATTGAACACACCATTCCACAGTGAAACATGGTGATGGTGGTTTGGAGGGGTTGTTTTATTGTTCAGCAGGAATGTAGTCCTGTAGAATGACCTGTGAGATGATTTAAAAGACTCAAGACCTTCCAACAGGACAACTGCTTTAAATAGACAGCCAGAATTATATGTTTAAAGCTGTTGCAGATCAATGATTCCTAAACTTAGTACTTAGCAAAGTTTGTATGTTTTAGATATTTTGCTCCTGGTACACACCTGACTTAAATAGATGATGCAGGGGATGCAGTCGTTTGAATCAAGTGTGCTGGAGAAAGCACGTGTCCAAAACTTAAAGTACTGTGAACCCTGAGAAATATTACAGAGAAACACTGGACCAGATCAGAGCATATTAAAGAGCTAAAATGGCCTAGTCAAAGCACATGCAGCTTTTTTAGGAATGTGTGCAAAACTTAAGCAAAACAATATTGCATATTCGCAATATGTGCAAATAAAAGAGCTGTTCCACTGATCTAATCTATAGTCTGCTGTTTTTCAAAGAATTTTCAAATCCCTCCAGCATTAAAATGGCTTATCTCATTAAGAAGGAAAGAAAACTGAAACTCAACCCATCCTTTATTGATAGTGCATTTGACAGAACTGAACATTAGATTTGGGGTGGTAAACATGTCAGATTTTTATATACAACCTGACCTTTTTTTTTCTTAGAGAAATTGAAAATCTTCTTAAATATTAAAATGTAGTTATTGCACAACATTTGGATAGAAGCTGATTGAAAAGCAGGAGTTCGGTCTAAGGTATATGTAAAGGACACCATGGAGACCATGATGCTATTTAACAAGCAAGATGTAAAGAAAAGGTCCAAAATTAATTTTTATCTAAACAGAACACCTTTCTATCCTTACTGAATAAGTGTCACTATGTGCAACAATAACCTGTGTCTGCAGCAGCCACACTCACCTCTTTCTTCTTTCATTACTCTGCAATTCGAAGACAAAGATGACCCGTAGTTCTCACAGGAGCAGAAACATGGGCAGGGGGGAGGACAAGGGACAACAAGGCCAACAGGGTCTGCTTTTTGTTGCACCTGAGCCAGGGGCGGGTCACGTCCTTATACCTTAGTAAAACTCACCCTGTTTACTCCAAAAGGCTAAGTTCAGCCTCAGAAATCCTCGCTCAGCTCTGTCCATCCGTCCTGATCCCAGTTGGTCCCACCCAGGTGTACACAGGTGTTTCTCCTGTCACCTGTAATCTGCCATACTTTGCTGGAAAATATAGAGCATAGTCTAATCCACCATTACACCCAAACAGTAATAAAAGGAGTAAATAAAAAAAAATAAAAAACTGTCATTAAATGGAGCTCCGAGCTTCCCTCTAAAGGGCAGCGGGTGCTCTATTGACACAGTGACTGAGCAGCAGAGGAGGGGCAAATCCTGCAGGAATTTGTCCTTTCTATCCCACCTTCTTTTTAAAACCTGCTTCTGAAGAACCATCAGAGCAATTTCTTCAAGGTTGCAATACACTCCTCAGTTCTGATCACATGCAAACCAAGAACACCTTATCTTTAATAAAACATAATCTCACAGTCAGCGGACAGTTCCTCCATCATTCACAATAATCCAAAACCAAGCTTTGTCACCTAACCCCCCCTTAGAGTGCTTCTGTCTTAAAGCGGTTAATACGACAAATGTGTCTTTGTGTGCCGACAAGCTTCAATGGCTTATCTTCAAACACAGAAACTCCCTTTTAAAGATCGTCATTAAATTCTTCTGTTACTGCATGAATGTGAGCTCTGTGGTCAGTTGACAGCTCACTGCTTCAGGAAACCAACAGGTGCAAGAAATCAAATAAGGATATTTCTTTCCGTCACTCCTCTCAACAGTGAAACTTGTAAATAAGAAAGTACGCATAAAATATATTGCCAGTTTTGTGAATTTTGCTTACAGCTAATAAAACTCCAAATCTTTTTTGAGAAATCTGAAATTGTTGCCTGTGCTTTCATGGGGAACACTGCTGATGTGACAGATGTTTGAAAGACAGTTAAATAGCATCCTCAAAATGAGGGAGAGCCAAAAAAAAACAAAAAAATATTCCCAAAGAAGCTGGTTTCTTAGAGAATACTGTATTAAATCACTAAAAGAAAGTTAGGAAGGAAAAAGTACAGTACATAAAAAAACAAAAAAAAAAACAGGATAACTTTAGCGTTAAGTATAAAGCAAAGTTTAAAAGGAAATGGTTGCATCTGGAGTCTGTCCTGCATCCTTCAGCACAGAACATAACAGGGGCTGAAAATGATTGGTTGATGATTACCCAGTAATTTCTGTATTGTTGCTCCTTCTACACCGACTTGTACAAGTTTCAATTCGTCTTTTCAGCTGAAATTTAGCAACTATTTTTGAAGAATCAAGAGTCCAGAGTCTGGAAAAATTGAGAAAAAGAAAAGTTTCCAGGTACACTAAAGCCCAATGCAAAGTTTGCATCCTAAGTGATGCGTTCTGGGAGCTGCATATAGATTTTAAGTGTTCTCATGAGCTGCAAGAGATTAGCCGGAAAGAAAAAATAATCACTCATTTTTTAAAATTCTAAATAGATTTCATTTTGACCTTATGAACATTTGAATGAACCTTCACTCACATCTGAGCCATGTTTCCTTCAGTAAAAGGGTACAGAACAGGTGACAAAGCAAATGTTACATCTTTCACTTTATTTTCTATCAAAAACAAATATTTGTAAAAAGATATTACAAATAAAAGGAAAATTGTCCCATTGACTTCCTCAGACTTTTGGGCTCTTTACAAACAAAGCTGTGCAACATTAGCACGTCACAAAAAGTGGAAGTGAAGTGCATTACATACATTTTTATTCTGATTTTTAACTTAAGTCAACAGCCTTTTTGTATGAACTAGAACAGTGATGATTAAAAAAAAAAAAATTATAATTGTGCACCAAGTAGCTGGTCTGAGCTAGCCATCCTGCTGCTGTATGAACGGGTTTGGGATGGCCTCCATGCCATCCTGAGGACAGATCAGCACTACAGAGGTTCCTCTGCAGACCACCAGCCCAAGCTGCCGGGTGTCTTCTGTTAGCTTCAGCTGGTCATCTGGATCTGCACACAGATTCAAACCAAGATCAGAATAGCCCATCATTTAAGATGACTCAATAAAATACATAGTTCTCTGCCCATCAGGTTTGTTTATGATAAAGCTCAGATGTCAAAAGGCTTTATCTGTTCTCCTACTTGCCATCCACAGAAATGATAGGTTCTTTGAAATTAACTTCCTGGACCTCACATATAGCATCAATGCTAGGATACATCAATGGAAATCTTTGGTGGCATATTTATGTGGTTGTGTAAACTTCTTAAAGGCTGGTTTATACTTTTTCATACCAATACCACCCACAGATCCCATTAGGGATATCTGGCTTACAGACATTCCAGCAGATACCTGATGGTTTATGGGCCAACAGGTTGATGAAGTCATACATGGTCTGCATTTTTCAAAGACCTAGTTACCCAGCGGTTTTTTTTATCCGTTTCTCCTCTTTTTGATAAATGTTAAGCCATTGAAGGAACCTTGGCAACATTTTCTGCTCCTTTAGTAGCTTTTGGGAAGAGCCTTATTTTATTTAGTTTAATTTATGACAAAGTTAAACCCAAATCCGTGTTTCTGGGACTTGGCTGTTGCTAGACTTAGTTTTAGGGTTTGGAAAAACTTCTACTCCACATAATTTACACTTTAAAATTGATTGAGATGTGGGGCATTTATAAAACTAATATCAGCAAAGACCATGTAATTTAGTCCCCAGCTACATTTGTAGTTTGTTAAATCTTTACATGCAACTGATCCCCTCCCCAACTTATTCCTGAATAAAAAGTACTTAAAAAAAAGAACTTTGTTGCATTTCTTTTCCTGCAGAAGAAAATATTTTCTACAATTTAAGCAATTTTTTTTGTTTTTTTCTTTGCCGTTTTAGTCATTTTGCATTTCCTCTTTGCACGTTTAATATATTTACACTCATGCTTGGTCGTTAAGTTGAAAACCCTATTGATGTGTGTATTTTTCAAAAGGTCGACGGCTTTTGCACACGAAAGAAAGCAAGAACTTTTTCTGACATGGTTTGACATTTTTTGTCCGAATAATGATTTGGTGAATAGAAGATTCATCATCTACAGAGGTTAACAATTTCTCTGGGTTGCAACCTCATTGCCCTTGTCTGTGTTTCTAACTACAGTCACCTGTCTCACATCAACGCCTTCTGACAACACAAATGTTTTCACACTAATGAGAAAGGAAAACATCTTAGATATACATGCTCCATTTCACATCGTTTTGGATATTTACTTTTAAGCAGTTTAGTATCAACTCTGAGATTGGTATATTGCAAAGTGAGAGAACACAGTGAATAAACTAAGCCAATCTTAAAGCTACAGTGTGTAATTTTCAGCGACATCTAGCGGTCAGACTGCAGCAACATGAACGTCTCCCCCCCACCGCTTCTCCCCCCCAACAGTACGGCGAGCGTTACGGGACAAAATGTCTTCCACGACGTCCGCATCACCTACCTTCTCAAGTGATGAGGTTTGTTTACATAGATAATTTTACAGATAGTATTTCATTAGTCTGTGTAGGGTATAGATTTCATGTAGACTTAAGATAATAAATATACCCGTTATTTTTTCTACGTCGTTGTGACGTTTTGGTGAGCTGCTTTGCATGGTGATATAAACAGACGAAGTAATTGTAGTCATTAGTTTAACAGCGAGATTGTGTTCGCTGGAAGAATATATATTCCCCGTTTACAGAGTCCAAGTCTTGTTTGTGGCACGGGGGTTACAAGGCAAGGAAGAGGGAAAGGAAGAGGGCAGAGAGGCCGGGGTGAGCGTGCAGCTGGGGCCAGGCGAGAGAGGGGAGCCAGCGGGGTGAGAGCAGAGGAGGAAAGGCTTGAAGATCTCCAAAGGAGCCGGAGAGAAGTAACCGAGGTATATATCCAGAAAATTATTTTACAGAAAATTACTGAATCATTACCTGTGAAACGTCAGGGACGTTGCTGAATAAGTATACTGGAGAGTAACAGCATCATCACGCAGCATGTTATTGTTTTAGACAGGTCTGAGCATCCTGTACTCCAAAAACTGCAGTGATATTAGACAATTGTGTGTATAGGATTAATTACCTGTCCAAGAGAAAACTGGCAACTTGAGCGTCACTTTGAAAACCTTTTTCCTCCATCAGTGACTTCCATCGTGTAAATGCCGTGCCAATGTTGATCCGTGTTTTTTGTCGTTTCTTGTCACTCTTGCGTTTATTCTCGTCGTGTTTCCGCTTCTTAGATGATGGGGGTTCGGTGTCCGCCGCTTTTCGTTGTGATACAGAGTAGATATGATCCTCCATTCGTCTGATGTTTGGCCACACAGTGCCAAACAGTTTGCAAAGTCACTCACGCCTGCCGCCTTGTTTACCTTTCTTGTTACCGAGGCGCAGTATACCTGCTTCTTCTTCTTCTTTGGTTTCAGGCAGACTAAACGCTTCTCAGGCATAATACTGCCATCTACTGTTCAGTACCGTCTCAGTTCATCTCTCTCAACTTGCCGTAGTTATTTTCGAGCGTCATGGGAGATCTCGCAATCGCTAGTTTGTTGCCTCTGCGCTTGCCGTAGCGCAAAGATGTCAGCCTCCATGGCCGCGAGACCCGCTCCTATGTAATTATAAATAACGAATTCTAAGGCAACGCAAATGTTATGGTTAAAAGGCTGAGCTCATAGGTGATGATAAATAACATAGTTATGTATAATATATTAAATTTCTGAATTTATATGCCTGTAATTATTACACACTGTAGCTTTAAGAGTAAAAAAAATAAATAAGCTGCTTGATTAGATTTGTCGTCATTTCTCATACATAAGGAGGATAGTGGGTTATCTTCAACAACTATGACTACGTTAACACTGCATTAATGCTCAATTCAATTTTTTTGTGAAATCCGACTGCTTTGCCTGGTTCTTCACGTTTCCAGATATATGATACTTTTATGTAACCTGACTCCGCCAGATGGATTTGCTCTGCATATCCATCTGGAAACCTTCCGTTGAAGTAATTTTGGGAACGGACGAAAATACTGGTTAGCTGATTGGCCTATGTTGGTGATAGACTGGCCAAATAAACCAATCAGATCAAGAAGCATATGACGTAACAGAGCGACGACGAAAACACAACCACAAGCCAGGCTACTCTTGCCGAAACCACTCTGGAGAAAAGCAAAAACATCTTTTCCTCTGAGAAAAGCCTCCAGAGCAACGTTTTGCTCTTCTTTCAGTGAAGAAATACTCTAATTCCGATAAAACTTACTCGATGGCCACGCTAACGCTAGTTTCATCGGCTGAAGCCACCATGTTCTTTAGACTTAACTGTCGCGTTTCTCGTCGCATCGTACCTCAACTCGCCTCAAAGCCAACGCTGATTGGACGTCCGTTTGGTGAACGGCTCCAAATTTTCTTTAACGGAGAGTCTCCAGACTGATCTGCGAGTGAAAGCTCGCGAGATCAGGATGGTCTCACGAGGCTAACTTTTATGTGATCTACTGTCGGAACTGCATTCATTCAAGTTTAATGTCCCACATGCACAGTAGGGGATGCAATGACGTCACAACTAGCGAGCTTTGTTGACTATTAATGACCTTTAGGTCGGATAAATATGACCTGGTCGTTCAGACAACTCCCATTTGAAAAGATCAGATATGTAGCGGATTTAGGTCCACATAGCCAAGTGGCCTGGGTCGCTTAGAAAAAAATCAGACCTGTGTCATGAAAAGATCAAGAACAAAGCCTAAGATAGGAGTCTCCAAACCTGGACCTCAAGCTCTACTGAACTGCAGATTGTCCCTGCTCCAATCCTGCAAATTCAAATGACTGAATTACCTCTTAAGTAGAATAAAATAGAACGATATTGATCTCACAATGGAGAAATTCACTTTTGCCATCAAGTTTGGCAAAGGCCTGGTAACGAGCCATGCATTTGATTCAGCTGTGTTGGAGCAGAGATACATCAAAAACCTAATAAACAGAGCCTTTGAACAATTGTGATGACAACTGCTAGTTTCAACAGCAGGACATTTATTTCAATAGTATTTTATCAGTGTTATTTATTTTTTTATTTACACGCATATATAGGAAATTATAAGAAAAGCGTGTCAAAAGCCCTTTTAATGACTGGTAGTAGGATTTCATTTTTAAATGTCCAATATAAATATTTTGCCTTGCCTTTTATTTGCACCTCAAGTGAGTTTTATACTACTTTAGAGTCAGATAAAAACTTTTTTTAATTGCAAGTCAAAACTTCTTATTATCTGCAAATCAGTGACCCTTTTTTTTATCGCACCTAGATGACTAGTTGATTTATGTTGGGTTGATAGTTGCACCTTTGAACATTTGCTTACCTCGCATATACTCGATGGTGCCGTCCAGCACCAGGTTTAGCAAAGGGTCAAACCCTTTCAGAACCCCACTGGCTGAGAAATAAACACATGTGCAGCAGTTAGTGTATTACCTGACTGGTTTAAGGTGTAATTAGGTGAAATAAATTCACCTACCTTCTCTCCCCCCTTGGAACTTCACACGAATCGTCTTGTCGATGTATTTAGACAAGTCAAAGATGCTCTCCTTTTTCTTCTTTTCTTTGTCCTGCAGAAAACGAAGTTAGTTCAATGTTTTTCAATCACAGAACGCTCACAACACCATTAGCATGGGCTTAGCTTGCTAACAAAGGTAATCATAAACGCAGCTAATAAAACTGCATCATTACATTGGAATAACCGTTCTTCATTTCAACACACCAACAGATTAACACACAACCAGACAGAGTTTTAGTATTAAAAGGTTAAAGTAAATGTTTGAATGAAAAAAAATGCGCAATGAATTTACCGCCATGTTAGCTACGTGACACGGAAGTTAAATGTCGACTGCAGGGACGTAGGACCAATCAAATCGCTCGTCGTCATTTGATGACGTTAGCAGATTTGCACGATTTTCAAATTACACACATTTTGCTAGATACATTTATACATATATATTACAAAGCAAAAATAATTTAATCCCTTAAAAAAAAAGTACAAAATCTATATTTTAAAATCAGTTAAAAAATGTGACAATACATTCAGACATTATTAAAATAGACTTTTAAGTATTAATGTGAAAATACCCCTATTTTTTGGTTTTTAAAATTATTATGCAGGTGTAGTCAGCAGTGTAGTGGGCCCTCTCTTTTAAATGCCTCCCAGAAAAAAATGACATGTAAGATTAATTTAATAATTTGTAGTATAGAATTAATTTGTAGAATTTACTCAATCAGAATCAGACATACTTTTATAATCCCAGAGGGAAATTACTTTTGTTGCACGCTCCAGATATACAAACATTTATATATTTATATATATGCATAAGTATAACTATAAATCCAGATAAAATGAGAGTGATTCTGCTATTTGATCTCAGGGAGGACGGATTATGAAATAACTGAATGCTGGTCCATAGACTAGAGAGAGAGACAATTACAGATAATGAGTGAACTATTGGTTGATTTTGAGTCCATCCACATGGATGACACCTATTCTCACACTTAGCAAGTCAGTCGTTTCTTTTAACAGCTCTTTCAATAGCTTATTCGCAGCATTTAGTGTGGGCCGCTATTAAAATGAACATAACTTAATCAGGAGCAGTTTGTCTGTATTACTGGTCACACTTGCAGCCTGCTTGAATATAAAATACAGATGAGGCAAACATTATAGATTAAACATTTATTTAAATAAAACATTTTAGATGAGAATTTGACATCTTTGTTCATATTTAAGCATAGATTTAAAAATAAAAATCAAACTCATCAAATAAGCGGAAAAGTTGATAAACTTGTAAATGTGAAATAAAGATTTCATTGTTACTCATTATATTTATATATTTATTATATGATGATTGGAATTTACCGTTCAAATAATTCAATAAAAGAATATGTAACATAACAATATTTAACATAAATGCATTGCTATTTGAAAATAAGAGGGTACATCAGGCTGTATAACTGCGTATACCCTGGACTACTCCAGTGGGTGTAGTAGCACCTATTCTCTTCCGGATCAGTCAGGACAGATTCTATTTATAAGCTTGCACTTACAACCACTTGCTGGGTTGTGTTTTGAAGTGGGACACAAATAGGTTTGGTAGGCTGACATGGCTTTCAGAGCTAACCCTGAGCAGGAGTCCCATAGCTGTAGAGTAGTCCTTCCTAAACCTGAGAACAAAACAGAGGAGGATGGATCTGCTATCCTTTCTGAAGCCTCAGAGCCTTACCCAGTCCCTGATACTACCCTACAGGTCAAAGGAGAGAGCTTTTATGTCAGCCGACACCATCTGGCCCTCCAAAGTCCTTACTTCAGGGCTCTGTTTTTTGGCTGCGGTGTGGAGAGCAACAGAAAACAGGTTGAGATCAAAGGGGTGGATCTGCAGCACTTCAAGGTCTTGATGGAATACAGCAAGACTCACAGACTGGCTTTGAACAGAGACAATGTTCTTGGTATTCTGGAGACTGCAGACTTTTTACAGCTGGAGAGACCCAGACTGCTGTGCTGTAAGTTCCTCGAGCGTGAGCTGCACCTCAGTAACTGCTTAGGAATGATGGCCTATGCATGGCAGCTGGGCTGTACTCAGCTGTACAATACAGCACGGCAGGTGGCACTCACACACTTCTCTGCTGTTTTAGACCAGGAAGATTTCCTGTGTCTTTCCAAAGAGAGGGTGGCAGGCCTTCTTGCCAGCGATGACCTGGCCATCTTCAAAGATGATCTGGCCCTGGAGGCCATCCTACGCTGGGTGTTGTCTGACCCAGATCGAGAAGAACATTTTCTTGAGCTCGTTGAGTTGGTGAGGCCTGAGTCTCTCTCTTTAACATTTCTCACTAAACTTTTGACCACGATGAAAAGCTCTGACCCCAGAGCCAGGCTCATCAGCAAGCTTAATAATCATTTTCCAGCCTCTTGGGCTATTGGAAGGTCGATGAGAAGAACCAAAGCCAGAGAGACTTTGTATGTCCTGGGTGGACCTCATGATAAGGAAAAACAGGCACTGCATCAGTTTCACCCTCAGAGCGGTAGATGGCAGAGCTGCTCGCCTCTGAAGAGAAAGAACCTGACTGAGTACTCTGTGGCAGCATTGGGTAATGTTTGTGTGATAATAGAAGTTATTATAAAGATGTGTATAAAGAAATCAGGACCTAACATTTTGAGGATGTACGGTGCCTTCAGAAAATGTCAATGCATGTCGGCCTTTTCACTACTTTTAACTTCCATCTTTGTTGTATGATGCTGAGATTCTGTTTTATAAAGCAACAAGACATTTTGCACGACTGTAAAGTAGAGGAATAATGATGCGGTGTTTGTTTATACTACTAATACTTTGTAAAACCACCTATGGGAAAATTTACAGCAGTGAGTTTTGTGGATTATGTCCTTAGTATTGTACATCCAGTGAATAGAATCATTTCACATTCCTTAGAAAATACCTAACCACAGTTAAACTGGATTAAGTGCATCTGTAAATCTTGCTCAAAACTTTCAGCCTGATTTAGGTTTGGGCTATAAATGGGCAATTCTGGCACGTAAATATGCTTGGACTGAAATTATTTCTGTATAGCTATGGATTTTTAGGGTTGTTATTCTGCTGTAAGGTGAACCTCGACCACACAGCCTTAAATTTTCTGCAGCCTAAGACAGTGAAAATTGTCATATTTAGCTCCATGGACCTCTGCTTTAACTCTTATCAGCTTCTGCATTCCTGGCATGCCCATAGTAAGATTCTGCCACCACCATGTTTAACAATTGGGATCTGTTCAACCTAATGTGCAATGTAAAGAGCAGCTTCTACCAAAGTTGTGACATGTTTCAACAATATGCTTAATCGCTTTCTTATTGTCAATCAGATTATTAAAGTCCACAACAGATTATTTTCCAGCAAACAGATTCCTCTAACTGGAGCTCTGCAGCTCCTCCAGAATTACTATGATCTCTTTCTTTCTTCCATGATTATTGCTCCCCTTTCAGTTTAGGTTGATGGACATTTTTCTGTATAGTTTCATACTGTTTGATAACATAACTGTTCTTCTATACACATTTATCTCCTTAATCATTGTGGTGCTGACAGTTCACTAAATGTCCTCTAATAATGTTTGGAAATTTTACCAGAGTAGCTGGGTGTGTACTGAGATTTTAAGACAGACGAGTTAAATGGTTTTGACCTATGTGTCATTTAATGGGATTATAGTTATCAGAGAAAAAGGAGTTGAAAACAAATCCATCCATCCATCCATCCATCCATCCATCCATCCATCCATCCATCCATCCATCCATCCATCCATCCATCCATCCATCCATCCATCCATCCATCCATCCATCCATCCATCCATCCATCGTAAAAGGCAGAGTCAAGTCTCCTGACTTGGAAAAGTGCTATATATTGTAAAACATCTCCAAGGAACATGAATGCTTTTCCAAGGCATAATAAAAAATATTTGATTTATTGAAACATTACAATATATGACTGACAACTTTTTCTATTTGGGATTTACTTTTATGTATTTTTACATTTTTTTAGGCAACAATGTGGTTGTGACGGGCGGCTACTTCAGGGATGTGCTGTGGTTCAGTGTGGACTGGGTCAAGATATACGACTGTGAAAATGAGCGCTGGCTGGATGGCCCTGCCATGCAGAAGTCCAGACACAGTCACTGCTCCATCGGGCTGGATTCAACTCTGTACGTCCTGGGTGGGAGTATGGACGAAGGGCTTGTGGCTGATGTAGAGAGGTTAATCCTGGGGTCAGAGGAGGGGTGGGAGGGGTTGAGCCCCATGGCCAGAGCAGTGGAGAGGGCTGCCACTGCTGCTCTGGGAATGTGTATTTATGTTGCATGTGGTCTAGATGAAAATGGAGATGTCTATGCAGGAATTCAGAGATACATGGTGAAGGAGGATCAGTGGGATGTGGTCTCTTATTCTCCATTTCCACGGTAAGAATAACTCCTCATTTTATCTCATCTAAATTGATCAAAGAAAAAAACAAGGATTTGAAACATAAAAGAAAAGTGTTTTAATTACATTTTTTGAAATTCCTTAAAGGTATGACCTGGTTGCCACTGAGCTCAATGGTGCCCTCTACCTATTTGGAGGCCAATCACTGCGCTTTGATGTAGAGACTGATGAATGGACGGTGCTTAATGAGGAATGTTTGGACGGAAAGTTTTTTTGTGGTTGCACCAACATCAGTGGCCAGATCTACCTGGTCAGTGAGAGGAAAAGTAACAAAGCATTCCCAAACATGGTGCTATTGGACCCATACATAGATACCTGCATTCAGACAGACGATGCCATTCCCTGTCCAATGCCCCTTAGAGGATGTGTCACCATTAGGATGGTCACATAATTTGACCATGCAATGAAGTTTTTTCCCTTCCCTTAAACTAAACCCAAAGTACCTTAAATGGATGTGTCTCTGCCAAAACGTGCAGCTTAGATTTTCATCTGATAGCCCCAAAAAAAACAGCTAAAAAATGTGAAAGAGAAATTATATATGATTTCAAAGCTTGTTAAATCTGAAGAAACTGGAAAACTTTTTTATTTTATTTAGCTCAGTGAATTTAATCTAGGAAAATGACTGTTTTTTTTATTTATTTATAACCACATCAATAAATAAAAAGCTGATTTCACAGCTAAATTGTTAAATATGGATCATTTATTTATTAAGCTTTTCAACAAGTCACACAGTGAATAACATATCCATGTGCACAACAGAACAGTCAACTGTAACAGCTTTATAAAGGTATTAAAACAATAATTTAATGTCTAATAGGATCTAAACATATGTATGTCATTAAATAAATCAGCCCTTTTTATTTGAACCCCTCCTGATATTTACACTCCATTTAAAACCTGTATATACAGTAGCAAGAAAGATGTGCTGTCGGCACAGTGAAGGCAATCTTCAGAGAGCTTGTCTGCAGCAGAGGGGACACTGGCCTGCATAACTTATTGGATAAAATAATGCTTTGTTCTTTCAATCAGCAACTATTATCAAATATGCCACACATAATAAAAAAATTCACCTTTTTTTCGCATAAAAATGCATCTGTGATGCAATTTTTATACCGTACTCCAGACATATTGACCAGTAGTATCACTCACATTAGCATTTTTCTCACATGTTTGCCCAGTAAAAGTAAAGGATTTAGGATAAAGTGTTGATTCACAAATTTAGCACACATTTCTGGTTTCTTAAGCTAAAGGAACATTAACTTATAGGATAAAAAAAACATGCCAGTAGCTCAAAATGGAACAGCAAAACCAAACGTTGGTTCTTACTACGTTGGAAAACAAATAAATACGAGTATCAGTCAAGTAAACATCTATAGAAGCAGTACAATTTTTGTGAAGTATCATACAGTCAGAAAAAAAGCCCTACTATAAAGAAGTATGTGTTCTTTTTTGGACACCAGGGGGCGCACTATGTCTGCCCAACAAATAGAAACATGGAAGTAACTCAAAGGTTAATAATTAACTAATAATTAATTTCAGAACTGCTATGGACCTTAGGTGGTTTATAAACATCATGATATGATCATTGTTTTATATCAAGTATGTACAATAAGATATGAGTTAATGTGTGAAATAAAATGTATGTATTTATTTTGTTTTAATATATACAGCCATGGCAAAAAAAAGACCACTTTTGGTTTTTTCCATTTTTTTTTGTTTGTTGTTGTTCTTAAGGCATAGTTCCTGAACAATACAATGAACAAAACAGAAGGGTGGTCTAATATTTTTTCCATGACTGTGTATCACATATATTACACAATGATTAGATTTAGAGTGCTTCAAATGAGGAAAAAAAAATAGAGACTGTCTTTCTTAAGATATGTAGAAAGAAATCGCCACAATAATATGGATAAATACAAATAAATAAAGACCTAGTACACACTATGAATAGAAGTGAAATACATCTTATGATTTCCTTGTTCAATGTGATTTATTAGCTGTTTGATGCTGCTTCCTGTACTTCTTGGACTGGTTTTAATGTTCTACAATCATATGTGTTTTGATGCTCTATTTTTGTATGAAACGAAGGATTCAGACCTACCCTGATCTGAAACTGTCAATGTACTTTGCTAGATGCAAACACACACAAAAAAGGAAAAAATTTATCTCCAGCGAGGAGAGATAGAGGAGATCCCATTATCTGGCCTTACGCAGTCTGCTGTTTAGATTCCTCTGGTTGGTCAGGTTGTTTAAGACACAGTTGTTGGCCAGAGATGTCCGTTTGGAGTTGATTGTCTCCTTCCTTTCCGCAGAGTTGCGCTCACGCTCAGGTTCCTCTTCTTGTTCATCCCCCTCACTCTCCTCATCGCTTCGCACATCTCGCTCCACCTGCTCTCAAAAAGTCACAGGTTATCAATCTTTCCCTGTCAATTATCTCCATCGTGTTGCTGATTTAACTGCACTCACCACTCCTTTGAAGACAAACTTGTAGACCATGCGCAGAATGAGGTACGCCCAGAAGATATGCAGAGCTTGCAGCACTAACAGCAGTACGTTGAAGAAATAATAACCAAAGAAAGGCTCAAAGAACTCCATGGATACCACCATTGTGGTGTGGACAATTCTGGAAAAAAGTGGGACAAATGTGGTGACTTGGAGCCAGTTTGACATTGTCTCACTCTTACAAGCAAAGAATAAAGATCTGGATTATTTTGTTTTACAGTTTTATAGTTTAGTTTTAGTTTAACCCTCTATGCCTATTATTATAGATACCAAAATCCACATATTTTCTTTTTTTGTTTTGTTTGTTTTTTGTGTCCTCTTTTGCCAATATAGCTCTGGGAATAGATCTCCCAGAGCTGGATGATACTCCAACAGCTTTGCTTTCACAAGCACACAAATATCACCTTTGCCATAAGGTTCAACTTGATACTTGTATATTAAACTTCATTGACATTTATTTAAGTAGTAAATTTGTTTACAATGGAAACAGAGACGGAAATGGGGGTGAGAAAAAAAGAGGGGAAAAGAACTAAGGGGAGAGAGAAAGAGACAGGATAGAGTGCATGAAAAAATAAAATAAAACAAAACAGCAAAAATAGACAACAGAAGATATACAGTACACCTAGAAGTCTGCTTCCACACCTGCATGAGATGAGAGGGACAGAGTACAGAGAACATAACAACAGCAAATAGACAACTAAAGTAAATACAAAAAAAGCTTCAAAAGTAGCAGGTATCCTTTAGATATCCATGTGTGTCCGATTCAAAACCTATGGTTACAAAATATTATTTAGGATGGTATACATCTGTAGCTGCAGTTTAGTATTTAGTGTTAGTGTGTAGCCGTGAACACCTGGAACCAAACTCCTGTGCTATGTATGCATGGTCATGCTCATGTATAAAGGATTCACAAAAGCTTCTTCAGAAGGACAATATGCTCAATAGCAGGTGTGAGCGGCACCAGACTCGCCCCACTGGAACCAAAGAGTAGATGCAAGTCCCATCATCCAGAGGCACCCCAGATCACTGGGACACAAGTAGAGCAGTAATTACAAAATCCTTAAAATACATTTACATAGGCTCACACTTAAAATTGTAGAAGGTCTAAGCTGGGAGAGTGTTGGCCTAGTGGTTAGAGCAGTTCGCTTGTTCTATGAGAAGGGTGCAAGTAGCCAATTCGATCCACACAGGCTGAAATCTGGGTCTCTTAGCAATACCCTTTCCTCAAACTGCTCCCCAAGGGGATGGGTTAAATACAGCGATACATTTTCCCAATGTGAGATCAATAAAGTTAAATTACATTATTATTATTATAAACCCCCAAATAGACCACATTAGGATATAATTGCTAATGAATTGCTTTAAACTAAATGAGACTTATTGTTACTCCTGCTTGTTATATTTAGTACAGCTAATGAAAGAAGGTTTACCTTATGAATTTAAACCATCAATGTAATGATTTATCAAGATTTTCCAGATTAATAAGATTAAAAAACACCTAATTTTCAGTTTTCTATAGATGCATTCTGTATTTATTTTTTTATACATATCTTGGTTTTCTTAAATATTTGATGATGTCATGAAATCCAAGGTGGCCTTTTATAGGAGACACAGAATCGCAGATCTTACACTATACTGTACATGTGCAGCTTTTTGTCAGGTGGGAAGTTAACATATTTGTTACATTGGAACCTTACCTGCAAGGAAACACCACAAGTCTTGTAACCAGGAAGACCACAGCAAATATGACAAACAGTGAATCGCATATCCTGGTCATCACGGCGTAGTGTAACATCTTGGCAGACTAAGACAAAAAAGGGGAAAAAATACGGTATGCATTCTTACTTATTTGTTCCAAGGAAAGTCCTAAAAGACATGATTATCATGGTTTTCATTTTTATATACATTTCTTTTTAAGTAAATAAAGGCACAGAGGCTTGTTGAAAGAAGTAAAGAAGAAACCTTGCTGTTAAGGTGACAGGACTACTTTAAAGCTGAGCCTGGTGCAACATTCTGCCACCAGTGGGCAAAAAATAATTTGTTTATGACACAGTATTTTGGTTTGCAAATGGGTACATTTGAAGTTAGAGAAGTGAAAAGTTGGTCAGGGAGCTCAGTGAAAGCAGTGCTCTTCATAACATCACATTAAAAAACAGGTATACCACAGTGAAGGTTTACCTATGAGAGCACATTAAGCCCAGCGTTACTGAGCATCAGTAAATTTAGTGCTGATCAAAGCAGAAAGACTTGAGAAACTGTAGGATTCAGAATTTTCTGGATTTCTGCTTGGCATTTCATGCTTTGGATCATCTTGGTAGTTTACAGCTTCTGCAGAACTGGGTGAACTCCTCTGGCCTGGCATTTGAAGATGCTCTTTGTTTGTGCCATCTCAGATATTTTTGGCACATTCATAAGTGGTTTCTATTCTTTCTCTCTTTCACTTGCTACAGATGAAATACAGAATCAAATTAATTTGAATGAGACCCAACTTTATCTTCCATGCAAACCAGAATTCTAGGTTCCATAATGTTAGACTGCATAGAGTAAGATAAGGAAAGTCCATCTCCCATAGGAGCACTGACTGTAGCTCAAAGGGATGAAAAGTAAACTTGCAATGTGGGTTTGCTCCCAGCCTATGCCTGTTCCTCTCAACCCTAAGCTGTGCATGGTTGCTTGAAAATAAATGGCGAATAGATGAAAAAACATAAACCTTTCTCTGCAGACAAAGCCCTAGGACATCAGGACACCGATTCAAATGGTTTGTAAGGGAAGTTCTTAGATTTACCACAAGTTTGAAAGTTGAAAAGAAAACTGGCAATCACTGCTGTAAGTGTTGCCAGATATCCAAGCCTTTACTTCCTAGCAATGCTTCTGCACTTCCCCTTGGCTCAGCTGTAGAAAAATCAGTCACCAACAGGAGGGAAGCTGATCCTGAATCGTTTACAAAAACTGTTCCTGCTAAGTTCTTTTCAAATGCAGATGCCTATGTACCTCCTTCAAACTCATTTCAATGCCAACCAGTTAAAAAGAGGAGAAACTGAACAAAACAGGCAGATGAGGAGAGCTGAGGGAGAAAAAATTCAATATTAGAAATTAGTTACTGCAATTAAGTATATTCAGAGAACGGTTAATTAGCAGTGAAGCATGGCTGCATTACTCTATCCTCCAAACTAAATGTTTTGTCGTTTCGTTATATTAGGAACTAAACGGATGCAGCTTTTAGTCCATCCCAGATTTAACTATTTTTGACCTGTGTTGTAAATAAAATGTCATAATTATGGAGATGTTCAAGTTGGATGTTCAATTACACACTATTTGAAAAACATGTTTGATTACTGCTGTTGTACCTGAGGATGAAAGTTGATATAAAAAAAAAAACAACATAGAAAATGGATTAAATCAGATATGTGCTTAAACTAAACATTTCCTTCTTTGAGACAGATAGAATAAACAAGAAATATTTTTATTGGTTTCATGCTAAAATAATCACAAAAAAATGATTTTTTTTTTAAATGTTCTGTATTGATAAATTTACAAACTATTTGGTAACTGCTTTAAACTGCATGAATCAAGTCTAATGTTTTGAGCTTCCTTCAACAAGCATCTCATGTTTCACTGGAATTTTTGTCCATTATTCCTGGTTTAATTAAATCAGGTTTCTAGGAAACATTGTGTGCTTACATTCTAAGAAACGTCACTTTATCATATGGTCTCCATAATGTTGATTTAATTATACTTCACCAACATTACCTGTTTGAATCAAGTATTGAGTCACTGTTGGGTGTTGTTTTTATTACCTCCCTGCCTTGAGTAGTAAAAACATTTTTATTTAATCAGACTTCAAGACATGTCATGAAAAGTTGAGATACTGTCCCTGAGAGCATTTTGAAACTTTGATCTGACTTGTAATGTTGGCTTTTGAGTGCTGGCCTCTTCCTCTGAGAGTGGCCTTTCTGCCCATCTAAGAACGGGAATCATTCCACTAATAATATTCTTTGAACAGCTATAGCCAGCAGATGGCCACAGCTTCACTTTATCTTTATCAGGGCTTTTCCATTTTGTTTTTAAAGTCCTAGTTTTCTTAGTGTCTGTAAACTTCTAGTTTTAAAGAAAGTTAAACAGATTCTTTAATAATAGATAGTTTTGATTACTCTATCATATCTTGAACAGGGAAAGATTAGTTGGATTTAATATCCCGCAATAAGGCAAAAAATGTTTTGCCTTTTTGAACAGGTTATGTATTTTTGCAAAACGTGTGTTGCTCTGTAGAAGTTGTAACATATTTACCAGCAGTTCTCTCTTGTAAATGAGAAATTGTGTCTCAGAGAAGCCACCCATAAAGTATAAATAAAGGTTTACTCATAAAATAGGGCGTTAACTGTAGATTCTATTGAAACAAATAACTTGTTTCATATCTTTCTTCATCTCTAAGCTGACAATGGTATGTGGATTGTTTAGATCTTATCAACGCCATGTGACTTTCAGGAAGATTATCTGTATGAAACAAACGACAGTCGACTATTAATCATTTTGACAGATTTTCAAGTAACATCTCTTAGTCTCTCCCAGAGAAACCATACAGAACCAATAAAAATGGTTATGAACTATTTTAACCACACACAAAAAATGTATCTATTTTTCACACAAGTTATATTTAATGCTTTTTTGCACCGAAGTTGATCTTCCTTTGTAGGATTTCTAAAAAAACATATGAAAACTTTCACAGAAAAGTCACAAGCAAACTTCCTTGAGATCTTTGTCTCTGAGCAAAACTGAAATAATTAGCTGTTGCTTGGGCCTTGGTGTGGTGCATTACCTCGAGCAGGAAGTCGGATGAATCATGTACCAGCATCACCAGTGTACCAACCCTCACATAGTTGGCGCAGTAGGAGAAACAGATAAGAAATATAGTGGCAATGTGATGCACCACCTGCTCTTTGAAATCCTGAAATAAATGAAGAAAACGTATTCTGAAATAAAGCTAGACAAAATCAAACAAAAAAGCTGTTAATGTAACCAGCATTTCAATAAACAAAAGTGAAATTGTCATGGTTTTGGTTCTGTTGTGCTTTACTTTGCTCCATATTTCCTAGTTTTATTAATTTAACTCCTATTTTGTTGTAGTTTCTAGATTTATGTTAGCTCTCTGGTTTTTCTGTTGTTGTCCTGTTGCCCTCTTGTGTGTGTGTTCCTTTCCCCTTGGCTTCTTTGTTGTCTCCAGTCACACCTGCTCCTTATTATCTCGTTAGCCCTGTCTTTGTCTCAGTCAGCTATTTATACTCTCCCTCTGCTGTCACTCCTTGTTGGCTCCTTGTCGTTGCTGCTTTCTCTATGCTGTTTTCTTCCTACCTCGTCTCTCCCTGGCTCGTTACTGCTTTCTCTATGCTGTTTTCTTCCTACCTCGTCTCTCCCTGGCTCCCCGTGATTATTTTCCCCTGATGTCTCCATGGTTCTGGTTTGTGTTACATATAAAGTTTAATTTTGGATTCCTGCCTTTGTTAAACTGTCTCCTCTGATTAAATCTACAATAACTCACCTCTGCCTCCCTGCCTCTGAATTTGGGTCCTCAAACCTCAACCAAACCCTAACAGAAATGCATTTCTAAAGAGAGGAATTAGACGAGTAAGAATACTGTACTGTACATCTGTGCTAAACTCATTTGCCATACAACATAATCCTGGATAATTTACTTTTATATTGTGGCAAAATGAAAAACATTAAAGCCCACAGCCAAATAATCCAGCATACTTTCTAAAATAGGTTAGACCATGGAAAAACAACTAACAAATACCTCAAAATCACACCAAACCAGATTTACACAATTTTATGCTTGACTGTCTTCCATCAGTGATCAGCATATTGGAACCAAGACAATCAGATAGTTTTTTTTTGTTTTTTTCCAGTCAGTGAACACACCATAACTAAGCGTCTCTAAGTCCCAGAACCTGGTGTGTAGAGTTGATTACCAAGGAAACAAGACTTTTCCATGACAATTTTACTAAAGGCACAGAAACACAAACTCTTGTGTTTCCTATGGATGTGCTTTGGCTACCAGAGTTACTCTGTTTATCTTTTTGATGGCTCCAGTACTGTTCATAATGGGACATCTCACTGATAAAGTCTGACAACTCTACACGCAGGCTGATGTCTGCAGTCTGTAATTCAAGCCACCCTGAACCTACCGTGCAACAGAAGCCTATAATCTCGTCATCTATAATAAGAGGGAAATGCTGTTTAACCCACAGCTCTGTGACACTGACTGCTGTCTTTCACTCTCTCTGTTCTGTTCTTATCATAATTATTTAATTTCTACTTACAAAAATAATCATAAAGCCTTATTATAATTTAATGTATAAATGTAAAGCTGGGATATTTATGAGTAATACAAAGTTGGCCACGACTATAATTTATTTTAAATGTATCTTTCAGCAAAAAAACGGAATATACTGAGATATGGTGCATCTTCAGATTTTAATATGTAAGAAAAAATAAAAATATAAATGCATCATAATTTGTTTTATGAAAAAATGATTTAGTTAGTTATCACAGAGGCATATCCATGTTATATTAATGTAGAATGAATAATGAAGTGTTTTACTGGGCTTTAATAAAATTGGTGACTGCAAATCATTTACAATTTATTATCTCTAACTAAATATGCTACTACTAAAAAACACTTAATCCTTAGAAGAAATAGCTAAATGCGTTTTTATTGCACATAGGTGATGGTGTTTTGCGTCAGGCTTGTACTCACTTTTCGCTTGACGTCCACAGAGACGCTTAGCAGCAGGGACAAATAGAAACTCAGCTCCAACATGTAATACCAGTAGTGAGCATTTGCCACAGGCTGAAGAATGAGAGGAAGAGCATCACAATGAGCAAAAATCTACATTCACATAAGTTCAGTCAGAGGAAATTCATGGTGTGCAAAGCTGAAAACATATCTTGAACACTTCTCTTGAAATTACAGAAAAAAAAACCTAATCTTAATTTTTTTTTATTAGGATTAAATGGAACAGATGAAGAGAAACTACTTGATAATTCTGAATTTGAAGGAAAAGAAGCAAGTTTTCTTTTACACAGAAATTTCTAATAGCTAAAGCCCTATGTGTGTTGTTACTGCAGACGTTGAGACCGCCATGAGAACGTTAAAGTGGGAAGTGTGGGCGTGGATTGGCTGCCACGCAAATGGACAGAAACTGCCAACTATAGTGATTTCTAAGAGAAAGACTTTGCCTAAAGATACTTTTCCAGCTGGAGTCGTTATTAAGGCAAATGAAAAGGGCTGGATGGATGAGGAGATGATGAAAGAGTGGCTGAGGGAGGTGTATGTAAGGAGCCCAGGTGGTTTTTTCCACGCATCACCATCGCTGTTAATCTGTGACTCCATGCGTGCCCATCTCACAGCCGATGTGAAAAACAAGGTGAAACAAATGAACGCTGTGCTTGCTGTTATTCCGGGAGGTCTGACAAAGGAACTTTAACCGCTCGACATCGGTGTGAACCGGCCGTTCAAAGTAAGGCTGTGAGCGGCGTGGAGCGATGGATGACAGACAGAGACCACAGTTTCACGAAAAGTGGAAGGCAGCAGCGGGCAAGTTACGCTACAGTTTGCGGATGGATTGTAGATGCTTGGGCTAACGTATCTGCCGGCACTGTTGTTCGAGCTTTCGCAAAAGCCGGCATCATTTCCGATGAGCCGCACGACACGGAAAGTGACTCTGACAGCGAAGAAGGGGAAATTGGCATGTCTGATTTAGTGCAGCTGTTTAATTCAGAAACAGTTTTGCTCCCGCTGTATTTTTAAATATGCAGTAGAGGTATTTAAAGAGGATATGTACCGGTATATAAAACCCGCGCCCTATAATCCGGTGTGCCTTATGTGTGTGTTAAATACAGCAACGGCACACATAACTGAGACTGCGCCTTTTATTACGGTGCGCCTTGTGAAAATACGGTAATAGTGAATTAGGCAATATTTGCATGCAGTAATCCTGAGTAAATGCATTTGCACCACCAACCACCAGCCACTAACATGTTTAAGAGTGAGGATAGTGTGTAGTTCAGGGTGATGTGGATTGTTAATCCACCCTAACCTTTTGCACGTCGACCAAAAATATCAAATTTGGTTTCATCTGAACAGAGCGCCTTCCTTCTCAGGTTTGCTGTCTCTCCTTAACTCTATCACTACTTATGCAAGAAACCATACGTGCAATAAAGCAAAGAAAAACGTACTTTCTCAAAAATGCTTTTAGACTTGCCTCACCTGTCCAACCACTTGCATACTGCCACTAAGCTATGAACAAAATTAAAGACTTGAAGGTGCCGAAAGCGGCTAATTTGAATCTCAAGAACAAGTTAAAAGAAAAAAAAAAAACAATTATCAACATTACTCCCAGTCTTAGTACACGATGGCCTGTTTCATTCAAAGGAATTGAGTAACATCTCAAATAAAAGTACTTGCATAACATCCAAGACTTGGTGTTTGCAGGGACACAATGGCACTAAGTGAATGTGGAAATGTATTCCTCAAAACACATTCTTTATCGCCACAAAGGCCTAGAGATCTCAGAGCAGCATGGCGTGGTGGAGTCTAAAGGTATTTTAATCAGGTGTCACTTTTCTACTGTTTTCTCTCCACGAGTTCATGACCGTGAAGGTATGCATGCATACCGAGCTGTCATTTCACCACATATATTAGCTTTAAAATCAGAGTGTCAGAGAGAGTCTAGATGTATGAAAACAGGTCAGCAGTGAAGGAGGGGAGGGAATCTTAAAAAGTCAGCAGGAAGGTGTGTGTTAAACAGCCAAAAAAAATTCATCTATGTCTTTTTTAATAATGAAGTAAAACAAAATTATTTATTTTCTTTAAAACCTGATGGGAAACTGTACTCACAGGTTTAAATAGACAAAAATTAAACCTTCTGTATCATATACTATACAGATTATGTTTTATACACTAATCCCAACGGTCCAACAGATAAAAACTACTAAATCCAATCCCTCCCATTATATTGAATGTACGTATGAAAAGATCATTACATTCCAGTCCGTCATATTAATCAAATATGGCATAGTTACACAAACCAACTGTATTATTTTCCATTTATTTTCAGCTTCTTCTTCCATGGATTATTATTATTGATATGAGAAACCGCTGCACATCCTTCTTCCTTACATCCAGAAACCGTCTCTTTGAACTTCCCCATCTGCATTGTAACTTATATTTCCCCAATAAAACAGACTGTTCTTCCACTGCAGACGTCCAAACTATCTCAGCCTTGCCTCTCTGAAATTCTCTCTGGATCAATCTCCGTTTTGGTCACTCAATAAGCATCCTCAAACTGCCATCCTCTGGTTGTCATCAGACGATGTCATACCACCCCACACCAAAATCCTACAAACCTTTCCTCTCTTAAACTACCTCTAACAAACGTATCCAACACTTTCATCCTGCCTCGGTTCTGTTTTCCTCCCTCATCCACTAACTGTTGCTTTGGATCTCTAATCTAAGATAGTTCAACTCACCATCTGTACTTCCTAAAGATTTACTTATGCCAGCTCTCTCTCTCTCTCTCTCTCATGCACACACATAATCTGATTTGTTTCTGTAATTTACCTTGTTTCCATTCAAATCAGTTTACCTTTATATCCTCAATTCACAGTAACTTGTAAGACCAACATGTCTTGTTTATAATCAGCAATAAAAATCAGAATATTCTGATCAAATCTGTCTATTAGCAGATTGAAGTTCAATTCAAATACATTACAATGCTACCTGAGTCATAAAGCAACAGTCAGATTCAGTTTGTGAAACATTATCTAAGGAAGTCTAGATGATTGCATCAAATCATTAGCTACATACAGTTCATGCAAGCAAAAAAAAACTTTTTTTTTACACCACATAACCCAATCTGCAGAGATAATAATGATAATAATGGAGCTGTAACTGTTAAGTCATCTACAGAAGAGACAGAGCAGGCTGTACTTCCTAAGTGTTTGTAGCACCACGCTACGCATCTTCTATAAGTATGCTGTAGAGTGTAATCTCTTCCTTCAACATGGCTGGAGTAACAGCATCAGAGCGTATGAGTTAAAAAAGCTCAACAAGCTAATAAAAAAGACCCGTTTTGTTCTAGGAACTCAAGAACCTGATGATTTCACGAAGAAGAATTCTTAGTAAACTGAAGAACAACATAGACAACAGTGTACAAAACCAACATAGTGTCTTCAATCAAGGGTTTCTCCAGATCTGGTTCAAGACAGATGATCCTTCCTACCTTTATCTAACAACACATATAACAACTCTTAAAAAAATAAAAAAAATAATAATGAAACAAATTTTCCTTTGTGATCAGTTATTTACAAATTGAATTGCATTGAATTAAATATCAGGAAGTGTTTTCTTCTTACTCTGAACATCCTGCAGAGTTACCATTAGAATAGAATAAAATAGAATAGAATAGAATAGAATAGAAAATCCCTTTATTGTCGCACAATGGGGAAATTCTGGTGTTTACAGCAGAAAAAGATTATGAAAACATTGGTCACACAATTGTGGACCTTAAAAATTATAAGAATAACATAAATAGAGAAGAGTTAAAAGATAGACAATAAAATACTGTACTGCAATGTGTTTTAACAATATACAAAGTGTGCATCTGGACAATGAATATCCATTATACAGCTACAGTATGGACATTTTTACAATAATGGATATTTGAAAATAGCAGCAACATCAGAGATGTGAAAAATGATAGCAGCATAATTTCATTATCATAATGAAATCACACTGTATCCAACTCAGTGATGCAGAACATAAACTAAATGCAAAGTCCTTATCAATAACAATGTGTTTGAGTCATGCTGTCTCCTCCTCACCTGTTTGGGATATCCCCTCCAACACTCACTTTGATCCCAGAACCAGGGAGTCTGGAAGATTTAGTAGAAACAAACATTTAGGAAAACTGAATATCATCTATATAACATGAACGAACTGAATGCATTTAAGAACATTCTTGTCAACAGGTTGATGGGCAATTCTTTCATCGACTAATTCATTTTCTGACAGACTCTCCAAGCAAATTAAATTGAAAGCATAGAACCGTCTCTTAAAAAGAGGCTAACAAACTTACATCAATCAGCGAGCAGAGTCCTGCGGTGAAGGCAACAAGGTAAAACACAAACCGCCAACTGTGGAGATTGGGAATCATCTATCAATAGCTGTGACACTCAATCTGCAATGTGCAGTTTAAACCAAAGCAACCCATAAATGCAAAGAATAATCCACCAAGAATCCACAGATGTAAGGAAGACTTAGGCCAATTATTTATATGATTTATTTATCGAATCCATTAAAAAAGGAACTCACGATGCCTCACAGAACTTCTTGGTGTTGCTGGGTCGGTCTTGGTTTCTTCTGTGTCTGAACCAGGTTTGAATCTTTCTTTGAGAGAGTCCACACTGCCTTCCCAGGCTCACAACTTGACTCTAAACACACAGACACACACAAAGAGACCATATAACGCAATGTCTCACATTTCAAACCAATCTGCCCAATAATTCTTCAGCTAGCAGCTTTCCTACTATACAAATCGAATATTTAAAATATCTAAGCACTCGTCAGCGGGTGAACATTCAAAACACACATTTTTAAAGTTCACATTTGTTTCTAAATAACAATGATAACGGAATCTCATTTAAAATCAGGCTTTATTAATTTATCTTTTTCTCAAAAAACATAAATTTTCTGTCAAGCTTGTCCCTGCTGGGGTCACGTAAGGTGCTGGTGCCTATCTCCAGCGATCTACGGGCGAGAGGCAGGGTCCACCCTGGACAGGTCGCTAGTCTATCGCAGGGCAACACAGAGACAAACAGGACAAACAACCATTCACACACACACTCACATCTAAGGAGAATTTAGAGAAGCAAATTAACCTAACAGTCATGTGTTTGGACTGTGGGAGGAAGCTGGAGTACCAGGAGAGAACCCATGCATGCTCAGGGAGAACATGCAAAATCCATGTAGAAAGAAATCTAATCCAGAAACTTCTTGCTGCAAGGCATATTGCCCACTGTGCAGCCCTACATTATTTTTTTCCCATTTTGGGAAAAAAAAAAAAAAGTATATTAGGCGTTATAATAAATTATAAAGCGCAGTTTTTTTTTCTGGCAATATTTTGTAGATTTCTCCATATTTTCATGGACTTTGACACCAAGAAAGTTGGATTTTTTTTTATTTTTTTTTTTTTTTGAGGTTTTTATGGCACTAGAGTCTTGTTTATTGTAAAGTGGGCTGACAGGAAAGGGGGTATGAGAGAGGGGGAGAGACATGAGGCAAAGGACCACAAGCTGGATCCAAACCCGGGGCTGCCATGTCAAGGACACCGGCCTCCATACATGGGTCGTGCTAACCACTGTTCCACCAAAGCACAACTGACAGTTTGGATATCTAAGCAATTTTATTTGTAGATCCTAAAATAAACCATGGAGGAAATTTTAACAACTGAATCAATTATAGAGTTCCCCAAAAACAAAACATATGGAACCCAGAACTAACAAGATAAAATGAATTTAGTTTTGAGTTTACTTATTTTATTTGTCTTAGTAGGGTAGATTGTTGTTACACTCATCATATCTGAGCCACCACAGAGCATTGTAAAATAACATCTGGAATGAAACTTTCACAAACTAGATGGTTTTTAACATTTTAATCCAAACATTATTTTACACTGCCCTGTGCTGGTTCAGATAAGATGAGTGTTAAAACCAACACCCCTCTCCCCTAATTAACTAGTGAGTAAAAAAACCTTTAGTAAATTAAATTAATGATAAAAGTTATCATCTAAATATAAAACAAGGTAAAAACAGCCTGCAAATTGAACACATTGGAATAAGAAAATATGGAAATTTCAACACTTTCTCCAAATAGTTTTAACTTTTCTATGCTTATCCAGAGTTTTTAAACTTGCATAATATCCCGAGTACTATGGAGGACCGATCCTGCCATAATTAAAAATACGTACAGAAATAAATGAAGGACTTAATAATATAAAATTGCTTGAAAAAGTAGCTAATAACATGAATTTGTGTGCCATTAAATGTGACAAAATAATAAAACAAAGATATTTCTTCAACAATTGATAAATTATTCATCAAAAAATTTACATTTTGACTTATACTTTTATTTTACTTTTCTTCTTGCTTTTATGCTGACTTATTTTTAACCCACTTCTTTTCTGTTATACATTTTTATAGAAGTCTTTATTTGGCTTTGTATATTTGTTGCAAGTGGGTTTTTTTTTTGTTCCGTATTTCCACTGCAACCTTTGTACTTTTTTCATATTTATTCACACCAACATTTTTAAAAGATGTTTATATTTTTGTCTCATAATGATTTACACCACAACATTTTTAAAGCATGTTTTTACTTCACCATAAATATTCCTTTTCACGCGCACTCCTGCTCAGTAAACGTTTCCAGGGAACCAGGCCTTGGCCAATAGCTGTAAAGCTTTGCCGGCTCCCGGCTGATTTATATTAATAGGTCCTTCATTTATTTCTGTACGTATTTTTAATTATGGCAGGATCGGTCTTCCATAAGTATCATCTAAAGGTGAGATATATATGTACTGCTTATAAAAACACTTTTGCTCTGCTGAGTCCAACATTAGAGCGGCTCAGGTGGCTGTTAGTGTGATGCCGCCTTCCCTCTCCTTTTCTGCACACAGATACTTTACACACGTTTATGTTACACCTGAAAGGTCTGTTCAGGGTGAGACTTAATTACAAGCTTAAGATAACTTACTCTCAGTTAAAGTCAAAAAGGGCTTGGTTTTATATTGTGAGTACAAGCTGAGACTTACACAACACACAAATCAGCTTCAAGTATGTCAAAAATGAGAAAATGACGGCATTAAACTTGGACATGCTGTACTAGCATGAACAAAAACATATTATAAAAATAGAGCTTATTGAGCTGTAAAATAACAGTTTAATTTAATAGGTCAAGTCTTGTTTTGTTCTAACACATGCATTGCTAGGCTTGTCAGGACAGGAACACCAGAGCTGTTATTCCACCTGTCTCTGTAAACAAGCAGGTAGAGACATACACGCCTTCCTTTTTTCTAGATAAAGAAACTAAGATTCACATCTATTAAAGTGTTCCTGGTTTTTTTTTTGTGTGTATTTCAGAAATTAATTAAGTGGATGGAGTAACAGCTGCGAAAGGCATTTTTTGAAGAATATACTAAACAAAAATCTGTAATCAACAAGAAGCTGCAGACTGAACTGAGCTTAGATTCCCATTCAAACTGAATGGGAATCTAAGCTCTGGGAATCTAAGTACAGTAGCTTTGAAAACATCAACCAAGAGGTTTGAAAAGTTAAACTATAATTTCTATTTATTTCACCGGAAACATTTCATATAAAAAAGCTAAAAAAAAACTTCCTCCTTAATGCCTTAAAACGGTGCCAGCAAAATTCCCTTTCCTTTCCCCTGGTTAAAAGAGAATGTCAGGTGATCCCATTACTATCTCATGACAAATGAACCTCTCAATCATGTGGAATATAATGACTATTGAGAAACTTCTGCTCCCTTTTTGGAAACAAGGAAACAAACTTTGAATCATCAGGTTCATTCATTTTGCAACACAGCAACACTTCACCCATCGCATATAAACATCAATGTCTTAAACCATCAAAATGAATTATTGAAAAAGAAAGAAATATACAATGTCTGCTTCATTTGCTTAAACATTTTCCAAACAGGTTTAACAGGCAGTGGTGACAGGGTGAGAACTTCTTTTAACATTTGCATCTTATCTGCAGCAACTTCAAAACAGAAACCCTTTTTTTTTGACAGTTTAACTTCCAACCCTTATCATGCAAGTAAACTTTTTGACACAATTCACAATATAAAGAAGAAGAACCATTTAAAAAAGCCTCTCTGGTTATGTGTTGCTGCACAGTAGTGCAGTCGGTAGAGCTGGTTTGATTCTAAAAAATAGGTCCTGGATCTAATTAATTAATCAATCCAAGCCTGGAGTCTTTCTGCATCAAAGTGCAGGTTAATGTCAATGTTTTGGTTCAGTCTGGCCACTTAAAAGTCCTCTCATAGTCAAAAAACACTGAATTAGGTTCATACTCTCCATTCCCCTCAGGTATAAGTGTGTTAAAACTAGAGTGAGTATTTGTGCATGGCTGTTTGTTCTGTGTCTCTAAGTTGATAGACAAACAGAAAAATTAACAAGTTTAGAGAGCTGTACTAAAACTACATTCCTTTTTTTTATACACTTGTGTGTACGAAATGACAAAATAAAATCTGTCTATGTCTAAGTCTAAACAGCAAATGAATTTGAAGGTCAAGCCCCAGTCCCCCTGCTAACCTACAATAAGTTATATACTGGTATAGACATATGTCAAAAGTTTTATTCATTTTGTTCTAGATCTGTTGACAAATCGTACAAAAAATTATGGTTTGGAGACTAAAGGATGGCCTCACAACTAATGCAAAAATGATGTTGTTTTGAGATTGCAACTAATTAAAATTGTAGCACCTTTGTCTTGCAGTAAGAGGGTTCTAGGTTTCATTCCCAGCCTTGCGGTCGCTTGTTCTCCGTGTGTGTGAGGGGGTTCTCTCCTGGTACTTTGGTAAAACCTGACCATGAAATTAAAAGGTGACTAAATTGTCCTTAGGTGTGAATGTGTGTATTTGCAGAGTTGTGTGCCTCTATGTTCCCCTATGGTGGACTGGTGGACTGTCCAGGGTGTACAGAGCCTTTCACTCACAGACACCAACCTAATGTTATTCTGACAGAGAAGCAGTAGAAGATGGATGGACTCATTTGTTACTTCAGTTTTAGATAAAAACTGATTATTTTATGAATTTTTGTATGTCTGAGAAAATATTCTGAAAATGTGAAAACACATTATTTTTACCAGTCCAAGCCCAGCCTCCATCTTTCAAATTTATAGATTTTTTTAGTCTGTTTTTTTTTTTTTTTTTTATAGATTTGGCAACACCAGGAAGGACATCTATGTGCATTAAGTCCTATTTCATCCTAGTCTGTGAAAAAACTCTGTTTTGCAGGATTTAGGAATATGATTATCCATTAAATATTAGGTGAAAACTGCAAAAATCCTACTGAAGCGATCAGAATGGCGGGCAGCAGCATATTCTGATTGAACACCTGGGACTTATGGATGCTCCAGCAGCCTGTTTGCTTTGTAAAGTGAGGATCAAAAAGAAAAGGAGTACAAACTTGTGATGGCTCCCGGCTGATGTGTTTGTAGAAGGCATCCAGTTTTGGGATAGGTGGAGCTTGAATCCGAATCTGATCCTTCACCCCTAAACATTTGCTTAATGGAATGGCTATGATCCTGTTTAGAAAAATAAAAGAAAAAAAGAAGAGGTTAAATGTTTTATACAGTATAAATATATAAAAAAAGAATCTAATGTACAACTAAAGTGGACAATTTTAAATGAACTTTATGATGAAAGGAGCCACCTGCAGCTGCCCATTGTTGATCTTCAGCTCAGCATTGAGCAGCGAAACATGATCGTTCATTATGCTACCCCTGACAGCTTGTGATCTGCTCCTATCGGTGTATTGTGACATTTTGCCAGATAACCCTAGTCAGTAGCTGACAGGGCATCAGGAGACACTTGATCTGTGTGTGTTTGTGAGTGCATGTATAGGTCAGAGAGAAAAGAGGGACAAGAACAGTAAAAACACAATCAGAGTTTCTGAGAAAGAGCGAAATGTTTTGACAAATGACCGTATTTGTTGAACCTGGCAGCGTAATGACATGTGTAACTCTACCTCAGAGATAATCATCACAAAGTGAGAATGAAGGGACAGATCAGGGATGATGAGAAGGTCGGCGTGGCTTTATGTAGAGACGAACAGTCTCAGGTTACAGAAAGACATGTGGTGAGCTGAACGCAGCCTGAGATGTTAAAATGAAGAACCACCTAATTCATCTTTCTGCACAACTACAACTATACAGAGGCCTATCAGAGACAAATCAGACACAGACCTACACACACATGAGCTGGCATCTGTTTTATTATTGTCTCACTGAGGCAAAGTTAATGTCATGATTCCAGAGTCATACTGAGGGTTATGCTAAAGGCAGAGTGTTCCCTCCTCATGAAGCAGCAGGTCATATCTCACCTCAGGCAGCGCTGATGACAGAGCAGCTGATAACAAAAAGCATTCAAAAAACGTTCCTCCTATCTGATTAGCAATCCTCTGCGTCTGCATCTAGTTCTATTTGTCTTGTTTTACTCTAAAGCAAAACTTGGGGAAACAAATTGATTAACTTTCTGTCTTTTGGTTGCATCAGTTTTCGATTTGGCATTACAATTATAAATGAATTAAGGGCAGGAATTTAGAAAAAATGCAAATGTATGTCCAGTTTTCTTAAGGTCCAAAAAGGCCACAAGAAGTTTAGGATTTTCAAGGGTCCAACTTTATCCATTCTGCTCACAGGCAAAAATAATAGAGGACATTATATATTATTTATATTATGAAATGCAATGTTATTTACATGCTGAGTGCTTTTGAAAGTGATTAAAAGTAGTTCTTGTTACTGATACATTAAAGAGTGAATTGATGCACTTAGTGATGTTTAATCTCATCCTGAAAATGCAATGGATTGAATAATGTTATCACTGGAAACCTTTTAGACATTTTTCAGGATTCATTCTCCATTTTTCAGGAAGCATTTCAAACTCATTGACAACTAAAAAGATTTACATTAAAGAACTTAAGTTTTTTTTGTTTTGTTTTTTTATCCCAATCTCTTTCTGTTAGGGTTAAAAGCATCTTTTAGGCAAGTCAATTCAATATTTTTTTTAATTAAAAAACTTAACCAGACAGATGATTACCATGAGATTCATTTACATCCTGGTTCTATAACCAGACACTCCATCTACACCGTGTAAACAACCGGTAGGGGAGTTTTAATCCCTGAGGGACACAGACAGAAAAAACAACATAAAATCACATCCGCATGTCGACAATAAATACTGTCAGTCTAAAGGGTTAGCAACAGTGAAGTCTTACCTGTCAAATACGTATCTTAGGATTATAAAGGCAAAGGCCAGTGGCAAAGCGATGAGGAGATCCCTGGGCAAAGGAAAGCGACCTTCCTCATTGTCCATCTCAGTGTCCTGCCAGCGGATGCCAGGAGGAAGCCAGTACTTCTCCTGCCACAGCCACGTGTTCAACATGGTCAACATGCTAAAAATAAAAGGAAAGATGAGGTTTTGTTTCATATAAAACAGATATGAATCATTGAATTCATCTTTCATGGTAACAATAACCCAAAGACCTAAAATGAAGAACATTTTTGACAAACGATAGAGGGGCCTCACTCAATGACTACCGGCCTTTTGCACTGACTCCAATCATGATGAAGAAACCATCTCCTCTGCTCTCCACCTAAGCCAGCTCAGCTGTAGAAGTGGTCAACAGCCCCGAATTCCTGGGGGTTCACTTCATAGACAACCTTTCCAATTTTCCTTTCCATACAAATGACAATAAATGCTGTCTAAGTCTAATTTCTCATGAAGCAGATCTGCAATGTATACGTTTATTCCTGGATTATAGAAGGGCTAGAAAATAGCACGATAAATCTGAATGCCTAAGTTTTTACTTTCTATAATTACAAGCAAACAACCTTGAAGAAAATGGTACCCGGAAATATAAAGTAAAGTTATATTTTGATTGGATGGTACACCACCTGTCAAACGGCAAACAAGAGTGCCCTGCACAGGATAGGGAAGGGATCTGAAGAGATCATATTAATAGAATGATTCACAGCTTTCTGCTTTAGGGCTGTAAAAATGCTATACCACAAATTATACAGGTATTTAATTTCCTTTTTCCAATTATCTTTTTTAATTTTCTACATTTCATCTACAAAGATATTTGCAAAACCAAATGGTTAAACGATTCTATAATACTGAATACACAGCCTTGCTGTATACCTGCTGCATTACATGGAAATGGCAATGAAATGTTTCAAACTGATCTCGGTCTTTCTGTATCTCTATCCAGGCAGGTATGTACTGAAAAACAATAGCCCAATAAGGCAGAACATTATGACCGTAAACAATACTAATTATCCCCTAATCATTGAACTCGTTGGAAGTTAATTTTGGGTGAAAGCTAGTGTTAGTTCTAAAAGGAAGATTTCAGAACATACAGGGCATCGCAGCTTGTCAGCATAGCAGCAGGTCACCAACACTGATTCGAGTTTGTTAAGGAAAGTAGCATCAATAGGGCTATGAGAACCAGAACAGTGCCCTGGAGCAATAGAAACAGATGGCTTTGTCTGATGAATTATGTTTTATTACATCTTGGCACGGTCAACATGCACAATGCTTCTCAGAGGAACACATGGCACTAGGTTGGAGGAAAGCTGGGGGGAAGCAGTCATCTAAAACCTTGAGACCTGACACCCATTTGGATGTTACTTTGACTAATACCTACCTAAACATCATTGCACATGCAGACTTAGAGGAGCACAACAATTCCAGCAATTGACTTGGCCTTTAAATCCCACAGATCTAAAATCAGGTATGTTTAAGGTTTGCCAGACAAGTCCAATCAGTGAAGGTGACATTTGGCACATATCTGGAGCTGAAATACCGCAGTTAGAAACCCCAGCTCACCTACAGGGGTACAGTCCCTATTAGAGATAGATAAATCAGCTGGATGATATTTTAGATTGATTGGTTTTAGGTCACATAAGTGCATGCATTTCAATTTCCATTGCTATCCATTGTAAATCTTTTGTTTTGTTTTTTTTTTTTAAATTGAGGCTTGTGCAACATTTATTATCATTGTGTCCTTTTTATCATGTAAACAGAGGGGAAAAAGCCACTTCAGCTCTATGAATCAGTCTAAAAATATTGGCAGCACACATCAGGGATCAGTTAAACCAGGGGTCTGCAACCTTGGGAATCCAAAGAGCCATTTCTGCAAGTCCAGCCAAATAAAAGTGGTTTAAAGCCACAAGTTTGACATACCCTTATAATAAAACACAACTTTTCAAATTTAGTTAAATATCTACTAAATTTGTTTTCATTTGTTTGGAATTTTAGGTTTTGAAATAAGGAAAAACACAAAATGCATGGATTTTTTTCTATAGGATGTTGATATGTGTGTAAAAATTATGTTAAAAAAAAGTTTCCATAGTAATGACAAAAAAAATATCTAAAAACATCACAAAGATAACATGGGTTCATTAATGTATTCTTTAGTGGTATTTGAACTGAGAAATTATTTTCAAAATCTGTTAAAACCTCTGAAACAAGTGCATGTTGTTATACCCTATTTGAAACCTTAAGTTGGTTCTTCATAGTTTTAGCCACTATAAGGAGCCTCTATTGAGGGTCCAAAGAACCAGCTGTGCAGGGGCGGATCTAGACCAAATGTACCAGGGGCAAGGAGGGGGCCAGTGGGTTTTCATGGGGGCACAGAAAAGCATGAAATAAAAAAACAGGGCAAGGGATTCAAATATATTAATAGAGCTGCATGAAGTGAAATTTCTTTTCAGTAAGGTTCAATAAAAATTCTATTTCTTATGAGGTCGATATAAATTTATAATTTAGGAATTTTACATGTTTTTGATTTATTTTAAGTTAAAACTACCGTTTTCTATAAAATATGAATTAGAACTCAAGAAAAACTGTTAAATTCATCAAATTTGAGCATTTTTTTTATTTGTTGTGGGAAAAAAACCATTTAGCAAATGAAAACTGGGATCAATACCACTGAAGCTCTCACCTTATTGTTTTTGAATAATTAGTTAAACAGAATTTGTAAAGAAAAATAAGGAAATAGATCCAAAGGACCTATCAGTAACCATGTCTGTTCCAGCGCATATCATCATTAGAATAATTTTCAGTATTATGTCTTCAGTACAGGGGCCAGGACATGATCTACAGGGGCACTGGCCCCCGTTGGCCCCTGTCTAGAACCGCCGATGCACCTGTGGCCTGGGTTAGACTAATGTCAAAATAATCGGTATGGACATCGGCCATAAAAAACTGCATCAGTGGATCTCTAGGCGCTAAACTTCAGCCATATAGGGTCTGTTGTCTGCACCACACAAGACAAGCCTGATCTGTTTACCATTTTATTGTGAAAAAAGTAAGTTTGACACAAGCACAAATAACCATAATTATAAATATTATTAATACAAATGTAATTTAAATGATCTAAAGGATCAATGAAGTATTTTAAAATGAATTGAAATAAGGTCTTTGCTGGTTCTTAAGACAACATTAATTGTTATAATAACTCAAGACAGACACTAACATAATGCATGACATCCCTGCAGCTCAGTATATCCTTGCCTCCTCCGGCCTGTAAAGGCTGCAGCTTTATCTGCTTCCTACTGATAGGCTGCTCTGCGCATTCTGCTGGCAACGCAAACTAAGGTGCAATGACAGTAAAACAACACAGACCGATTTGGAGAGTGAATACTAGAGTAAGTGCATCAGTATTAGGATGAAATCCTTCTGCATTAACCAGTAATGATTTAGCGGAACCTGTCAGCGCTCGGAGAGAAGCGCAACCTGTCATCACCGCTTCATCCCGAGAATCCAACATCCTCTCTAATTCAACATTATTTAAAATAATATTAAAATATAATCATAGCAGCATTATATCGCGGAGAAATGTTGCGCTCACCTGTCCAGGCTCATGATGTGCTGAGGATGGGAAATACAACAGGGGCAAATGGGTAAGGAGGAGGAGGAGGAGGAGGAGCTTGTTTCTACGCCCCCTGCGTCCGCCGCGGGCGGGGAGAGGCGCACCCTTTCACCATCACCGTTTCATCATCGGATCCACTGCTTTTCAGATTCTTCACCGTGCGTGAAAAACAAACCAATCAAAAACACTCCGCACGTATTTAGCCAACTGGCAGTTCTGCGCAAGGGCGGAGCTAGATGGGGGGCCAGGGGTGGCCATGGTCACCCATAACCAATCATTGGCATAATTTCTCCCCTCTAATAAGATGGTGGCAGCACTAATACTCTCAGGTGGAATATTCATTTTAATTTTTCATATATTACTTACTATTTTTTTTTCATGTGTTCTTGACAAAAAAAACACAGTAGTTAATTATACACATCAATATAATAACATTAAAGATGATAAGTGCAGAATTAATGACCTTTTCAGAACAAGATTTTATGTTATATGAGGTAAAGAGAAAATGATGTGTCTCTGCATTCATCTGGGAGTCTTCAGTAAAATCATAGATAAATAACAATAAAAAAACATTAAATAATCAATTTATGTTGATATTAGTGCTTTTAAATATCAATTTTATACAAAATTAATCGATAAAAGTGGGTAAGTAATGACAATGAAAAAGATGTTTGCTGCAGAACTCAAACTTGAAAGTATTTTATCCACTATACCTTTTATCTCGAAAGCACGGATGTTTAAATATATGCGTCTTTTTGTTAGCAAAGGCTGTAGGAAAGTATAGTTAGTCTTATCTTTGGATTGACCGTGAGGTTCTGGCGCCTATACACTTTCAGCCACCCCTCAGTGTACACTGGTTATTGCCTGGCCACCCTTATAAAAATGGCTATGCCTCTGGTTCTCTAAGAATATAGATATTTACTTAGAGTCCCTTGCAAAAGTCTTTATATTCCTCATTTTTGTTGCAGATATCAAATTTGATAAAATTAAATTACTAGAGTTAACAGACAACCCTTTTCTCATGTCTTTAACTAGTTGTCTTCCATGGTTTCCCTGGATCTATTCATCATTAATAACCATACATTATACTATATTTCTCACTGAAAGCAGTTGACAATATATTTTAACATGCATACTAACAACTGCGTTTAAAGCTTTACACTGTGAAATATTCAGACTTGGTCATTTGATTCTTGTGCACATTTAAAACAATATTATTTAGTATTTGCTTGTTTTTTTGAATAAATGAATAACACCAGAACGTGAACATAATAGTGCATAACAGTTTAATAATGATTTAAACGAACATCTTAAAGAGTTTACATTACAATGTTATTCAGTTCAGTGTGATTTGATGATATGATATAGCTCATCGAGGTTTAATCCATGAGTGATTAGTATTGTTCGCTAAGCAAACACATTTTCGTTTTGGCCACAGTAATGTTTGTTTTTGCAAAAAGCAGGAAAACCTCTTAATCACCAAAACCATCTGTTGTCATGCATGATGGTGCGTGGACTTTTCCTATAGTTCAAAATAAACATTATAAGGAAGATGATTCCAATCACGCAGCTGCGAAAAAATATTACGCTGGAATTTGATAGTACCGGTAGTTATTGATTGTCGCTTTTTTTATTGTCGTTTTTGTATTTTTATTAGACAAAAATTTATGCAATTCAATGAATAGGTTTCAGAAACCCCCCAAAATTGGTTCATATTTTCTGTGAACAACCAAGGGGGGACACTCTCTGACTTCTAACAAGATTCAGAAAATACCAAAAACTGCTTCTTTTTTTAGTGCTAATGCTGCCTTTAACAAAAATGGCATACACAATCTTAGGTAATAAAAAAATAGTTTTTTTTTACATTAACCGAAGTGTTACAATTTCATGTGGTTTTTATCAGAATTAATTTCTGATCAAAAAGAAGGTCAAACTTTGAAATTGATTCAAAGCAAATTTTTAAAACATTTCAACCTAAAGCTCTAAGCAAGTATGAAGAACATATTTAAAAGTATGTATTGCTAAGACTCTTAATCAGTTAAAAAATAATGGAATTGTTTTGAATGTTAATTAACTTTCAGACTTAAACTTTAACCCAATTCTTAGAATTTGTGATGTGATTTTTTAAAAGACAAAAACTCCTGTTCTTCCAAAGTCAACAAAATCGATCCTTAAGTATGCTGGTGGAGATTCTTAGTCATCCCGGTCATAGCTGTTCCAAAAGCAAAAATAAAACAGCAAACTTTTCAATTCAAAATGTTTTTGAATTGGAAGCTTTTTAAATTTTTTCAAATTTCAGCTTTCACCCAGGAAGATTTTTCAATTCAAAATTAATAAAAAAAAACTTATTGGATGGAAAGCAAAACCTCTTCAAATTGGAAAACAAAGTCAAGTGATTTGGGTTTTTTTTTTTACTTTTTTGGATCCATAGGTAACAACAGCTAGCTTGACAAATTATTTCTTTGTTATCATATTACAAGTATGATTAATAATAAGGAATTCACAACAATTTGGTTAATGTACTGCATATTCAACAGAAGAACAAAAAAAAAAAAAAGAAATGTGGGCTTTGGTTGTAATAAATGTAGCTACATTTATCTAGGAGTAGATATTCAGCGAAAGCTGATAGGATTCAGTGTTATGCTTATGTGGGTTAGCTTTTCATACCAGCCATACTCCAGCAATAGTCACAAAAGAAAGGCATCAGGAAGAAGACGACAGGAGACTATTTACACAAACTTCCTCTTTTTGCCACATTGAAATAATAGCAGGATTGTTTTTCTTCCTGTGATGAATATCAGGGTGTGCAAAAATTTTAAACTTCCAATATTACAGTACAGTGGGGGGAAAGTGTTTACTCAGCCATGTGCAAGTTGTCCTACTTAGAAAGATGAGAAAGTTCTGTCATCTTAATCAAAGCTACACTTCAACTATGTAATGAGATGAAAAGAGTGAAAGGAAAAACATCAGGAAATTATATCGTAGGATCTTTTGAGAATTGACTTGTAAATGATGGTGGGAAATAAGTATTTGGTCAATAATACCAAATAGAGTGGGTGGTAAGATTTCCAAAAGAGCACCCTTTTTTTGTTATCACTGGGAAATCAAAACCCTCAACTCTCTTTGCATATTTTCTATGGGGTTGAGATCTGCAGACTGATTAAGGCCTCTCCATGGCCTTGAAATGCTTTTTTAACAGCACCTTCATTCCCTGAGCGGTGGAGCGCTGGAAGACCCATGTTCCATCAGCAATGCTCACATGATAGAAGGAGGTTTTGGCTCTTTTCTCTTGGCCATGGTTTAGGTTGGAGTTTTCGGACAGGTTGTTAATAAAGGGGAACAATTGGATGACATAATTTTTTCCTAAAGAAGTTACTGTCATGACCTTGGCGCAGATGACTTGCTTGGTCACTTATTTTTAATTCACCTGCCTAGCTCGCCCATTTCTCATTACTGTTTATCTTATCCACTTACTTCAGCCTCTATTTAACCAGCCTTTAGATAAGTCATCAGTGCTAGATTATTCAAGCCTTGTGGTGAGAGTTCTCTAGCACACCTGAGTGTTTCTGATTGCCTGATCCTGACCCGCTCTGCCTCTGGACCTCTGAGCCTGCCTGTCTGGTTGGCAGCTGACTGACTGGAACCAACCTCATCCTTTGGGCACAGATTGAACTTTAAGACCAGGTTAGTGACTCACATGTTCATTGTCATACTCCGCAAGATAAATGCAATCCCTAATCTGCTGTCTACTCCTGCAAAGGTTCCTGCTTTAGAGGCCGACACTGCTCCCTGTAGACCCATCTTAAACATTTTGTTAAATCTAACTGTCTCACCGCCTCGAAAACTGGGTCCTTTCGTCCTTAGTTTGACAGTTACAGGTGTTTGAGGCCCACACATCTTGCTTCCTGTGAGTGACCAAATACTCATACTTAATTACTTATTACTTAATTTACAGATAGATGAACTTCTAAAAAAATACTACAATGTGATTTTCTGGATTTTTGTTTTCCCATTTAGTATCTCACAGTTGAAGAGTACCTTTGATAAAAATCATCTTTCTAAGTAGGACTACTTGATAAATCAGTTGCTGACTAAATCCTTTTTTTTTTCCTGTTAACCAGTTTTACAGGTCATAATCTCATTAATTAGAAGCCTTTCTAAAACAATATCAATTCCTTTAAGGCAGGTTTCCTCAAATCTGGGCATTGAAGTCCATTTTCCTGCACTTTTTAAATGCGTCTCAGATTTACAAATCTAAGTTGAATAATTAAGTCATTATCAGGACTCCAGAGAACGTAACTGCATACTGAGGAGGTAATTCCCCAGTTGGATTCAGTGTTGTGGGAGCAGAGACATGTAAATGGTGCTGGACATTGGACCTTGAGGGCAGGAAACGAGAAACCCTGCTGGCATGTGAGAAATCTAAGGAGATATTTGAAGCTCATGATAATAAAGTCCTGATCTCCTCTGCTCTGGCCGAGAAACTCATCTCTGAATTAGCTTTTGCACAGGAGTTCTAGAAAGCAAAGCTATAAGGAAGTGAAGAAAAATAAAACTCTAGGCCTAGTGAATCTGTATGGTTTATGTTGCTAATCTGGTTTCAAGGAAGTAAATGAGAATTACAGTATAGGCCTACAAAGCTAAGTTCACCTAGAATCATCAGGTGATACTTTATCATTTGCAATATTCAGGCAGGTCTGGGAATGCTGTACTCTCTGTGCCATCATTTTTTTCATCTGGTGAGATGAATGAAGTTTAGCAGGAAACAAACCAAACCAGGTGACTGTTGAGGAAGTAACAGCTAAAAGATAAAAAAAAAAAAAAAAAAAAAAAAAAACTTTTTTTTTTCTCTGTCTGTGAAATGATCTCTGATTGGGAAATTCTTGAAATACATGTGACTAATCCTGAAAGTGCATCAAGTCCTTGCAACAATTCCAGCGTCACAACACACAGATAACTCATTGTCGCCAATCAGGGGTGTGATTGTTATATCATGGTTGTCTCCAACAAGAAAGCGTCACACATTTCTACTCACCTGGGTGTGTTTTTCCTGCTTGCAATGCTGAGGTAGCCTGGAAATGTCTTCCTTTTTCACAAATACTTTTCTTGTTCTCATACTTGCTGAATAAGCCCTTTCTCAAGT